GACGGAGAAGAGCAGTGTAGTGAAAATGGAGGTGCAGCTGGGAGAAGGTGTCTTCACTCAACGGAGAGGGGAGAGATGCTCCAACAGCTGTCACCAATCGGTACGTAGACTGCACTAGCCACATAAGTACAAAACGCCACAGCGAGTAGCCCGATTGGTGTGTAGATGGTCCGTGCTGGCGCCAATCTAACCTTAATTTCCCCCACACAGCCACACGTGACAATCCTGTCCTGATTCCTCAGTGCCTATTTTGGGGGCTCCTTTTCGTCCATCTTCCCTCTTTCTCTCCTCCGTATCGTGCGCTCTTCCGTTTCCTCCTAACCTTCGAACGGATAACTTTCCGGCTTATATGCCTGCCCAAGAAAGACAAAAGTACCCGCTGGCCTTTTGTAAAGCTGGGCGAATCTGCATTTAACTCAATTCAAGCATGCAGCCCTTCGAACTAACCACTTCTTTGCGTCTCATGGCTGAATCCCTGTTCCCCATGAACATTGAGCTCACTGCAGTCTCTCGTACTTCGAATCTCACATGCTCTTCTGCGAACGGCCAAACTTCTCGAGGCCTACCTCTACACAGAATCAACGTAAGAGGCACATGAAATGCGGCACATGAAATGCGGCACAGAAAGATAGCATGATCGGCTGGGCGTCCAAGTCAACCTCCTGCTACTTAGTCTGCCTCTGTCAGGTGAACTGCGCCGATAAGAATGGACTCATTCTTCTCTAGAATGACGGCATAACAGGATCTTACCCGTCGTCACCGTGACTTGTCACGAGAGTCTCTCAATTCGCCATAATGGTGCCGGAAGCAGATCATTACAAACGGATTTTGTGTTACTCAAGTCTCTCCGAGAAGAATCTATAACCGTTCAACAATAAACCCCCCCTCAGTCACACCGAACACACTTAATTCCTGGATAGAGAGTACTGGAAGAGCACAGTTAGACCCGCATATTTCCCCATGTGCACAGAACGTGGCGAGCAACAGGCGCGTACTACCAGCCTTGTCGTTAACCTACCAATTTTGACCCTCCCCCACATATCCGACTGTACTGTGCAAGGATCTCGTCCAAGACCCTGCTTCTTCTGCGACCATCCTTCCCTGTCCCTCTGTTCCATTAGAGGAATCAACAGTTGGGCCATCGTCTGGCAACCCAAATGCTTCCCCTGCTTTCTGGCCTAGTATCACCGCGCGCCAAGAATTTGTGGTCGCCGTCTTCGCGACTGCAGACCAGTGATCTGGTTGTACGGACCAATCCTCGTTCTCTTGCATATCTGCTGTCCACCCTATCTCATCGGTTCTCTGCCTGACCGAGAAGGTCGATCCTTTCGACCAGACAGCCAAGATGTTGCCCAGCCGGCCTAGACTGGGACTGCCTCCGGAAATCATCTTGGATACCTTGCCACCTGCCGACCTGTTCGCATCATCCAAATGTGGCAGTCCATCATGTGTGAGGTACCCGGTTGGCATCTGGGCGCCGACTATGTGGTACCGCTGATAAGCGACCTGGCCGTCTTCAGTCTTTTCGAAAATGTTTATTTATCGCCGTGTCCCACGCTGCCGGGTCTGAGTTTTGCGTCGTGGCCTCTTGCTCTACACCCAGGTCCAACTTCACAGCCGCCCAAAGCGTGATGGCGAATGACGAGAAGAACGACTCGCCGGTCTCTCCCATTGACATTGGGAGGGACCAAGGCGTCTTGACTGACGAGAAACTTGCTGTTGTAAGTGCCAATGGCAAAAAACAGCACGGATTGAGTTGACCAGCTTGTGTAGGGCGCACATACCGAGGAGCTCCACCGTCTCAATTCCGAGGAAGAAGCCTTTGAATCGTAGGTTTCTCACCAAATGCCTTGTTCAACCACGTAGCTATCTAGAGCTGACGAATTCTCAAGGCACCTCAATGTCACAGAAGATGATCTCATTGAGGCCAAGGCCGTTGCTGCCACCCTCTCCTTGGAGGGAGTGCGCAAGGTATGCTCAAGGACCACCTCAATAGCACGAAAAATATCATTGACACAGAACACAGATGATGGAGACTGTCTTGAGAATCCACAACCGAGACCCGAACTTTCCTCACAGTGTTCTCATGAAAATCCATGAATTCCTTGGTGAGTAAAGCACATGCAACGAAGACAACTTATGGCAACAGGGGACTGACGCGGCAATAGACAACCAGGATGTCTTTGAGAGACCCGAGAAGCACGAACAACTGATTTGGGAGATGAAGCTCGAGGCTGCTTTGATCACGAACAACAGCCCCTACGCTGAGGTGCGAGCTGTTGTTGACAATAAGGACGACCCTTCCCTTCCGTGCGGAACGATCCGAGCATGGACCATTGGCGTCTTCTTTTCGGTCTTCTTGGCCTTCATCAACCAGGTAAGTTGCCGCTCCGCAAGTCCACACCATAAGGCTAACGACAGAAACAGCTATTCAGTATCCGTCAGCCCCTTATCAGCATCGAATCCAACGTCGCCCAACTTCTCGCATTCCCCCTCGGTAAGGCCTGGGAGAAGTTCATGCCCAACACTATCTTCAACGTTTTCGGTTATCAGATCCCCCTCAACCCAGGCCGGTTCAACAAGAAGGAGCACATGCTCATTGCCATTATGGCCAACACTGCCAAGAGTCTGCCTTACACCCAGTACATTGTCTGGACTCAGGTCTTGCCCCAGTATTTCAACCAGCCGTACGCCAAGAGCTTTGCTTACCAGATCCTGATTGCGCTCTCTACCAACTTCATTGGCTACGGTCTCGCTGGTGAGTGATGCAACGGCGTACTTCTGAGGGAAAATTGATGCTAAGAGTAGAGTAGGCCTCACCCGTCGGTTCATCGTGTACCCTTCGTACTGCGTGTGGCCGGCGTCTCTCGTCACCATCGCCCTCAACTCGGCGCTCCACAACGAAAACAACATTGCGGTCCCGGGACCGTTCAAGAGACTGTACTCGATGACTCGATACAAGTTCTTCCTGTGGTCCTTCGCCGCAATGTTTGTGTACTTCTGGTTCCCGAACTACATCTTTGAAGTCCTCACATTCTTCAGCTGGATGACTTGGATCTCGCCCGACAACCACAACCTGGAGATTTTGACCGGTTTCCGCAACGGCTTGGGAATGTTCAACCCCTGGCCTACTTTCGACTGGAACGTCATGTGAGCAGATTCTTCTCGGCTCATCATGCACCACCTTTACCCAAATGGAATCCGCGCTGACATGATTCACTCTGCACAGGCTTTTCGACAGTGTCGACCCCTTGGTAAGTGCTATCATGTACTCTTATAACGCCTTACTCAGGGTTTTTTCTAATCTTAAATAGATGGTTCCTGCCTTTTCCACTTTCAACCGTACCCTTGGCATGTGGCTGCTCGGCTTCGTGATCATGGGTCTCTACTACACGAACGCCTGGAACACTGCCTACCTACCGATCAACTCGAACCGTGTCTTTGACCATTTCGGCAATCTCTACAATGTCTCGCGCGCTCTCGACGACCGTGGCATGTATGACCACGAGAAGTACATGAACTACTCGGCTGCCTACCTCGCAGCCGCCAACACCTTGGTCTATGGTGCATTCTTTGCCCTGTACGCTGCTGCTGTCACCCACGTTGCGATTTTCCATCGCTACGAGATCGTGATGGGCTTTAAAAACATGTGGGCCAGCATCCGCCGCCAGAAGAAGACTGTCGCCGAGGGCGAGGATTCTGGCGAGTACAAGGACGTCCACAACCGTCTCATGGCGGCATACCCCGAAGGTGAGTGCTTCCCACAGCAATTAGATACGGCAAACATTAAGTCTCTCTAGTTTCCGAGTGGTGGTACCTTGGCACGCTCATCGTCGCTGCGGGCTTCGGTTTTGCAGGTGTTGCGGCGTGGCCTACCTACACCACGCCAGGCGTTGTTCCCTACGGTATCTTCTTGGCTGTTATCTTCGTCATTCCTATCGGAATCATCAAGGCCATGACAGGTATTGAGGTCACCCTCAATGTCCTGGCTGAGTTCATCGGTGGTATGTGGGTTCAGGGCAATGCTCTGGCCATGAACTTTTTCAAGTCTTTCGGGTAAGTCTTAAGTGTCTCTCGCTCCTCATGCTAATGCCCGATCCTGATAATATATAAATAGTTACGTGACATGCGCCCACGCCGTCCACTTCGCCAACGACTTGAAAGTGGCTCACTACCTTAAGATCCCTCCCCGTCAGACCTTTGCCTGCCAGATGGTCGCCACGCTCATCTCCACGTTCGTCTGCACCGGTGTCATGAACTTCCAGATCAACATCCCCAACGTCTGCACTCCCGACGCGCCCATGCGTTTCTTCTGCCCCGGTCCCAACACCTTTTTCACCGCTGCCGTGCTGTGGGGCACCATTGGACCTATCAAGGTCTTCGGCCACCAGGGACAGTACAACTACCTCCTGCTCGGATTCCCCTTGGGCATCATTCTGCCGGTCCTGTTCTACTACCTGATCAAGTTCTATCCCAAGAATCGCTACCTCCGCCAATTCCACCCCGTTGCCCTCTTCTACGGAGGTATCAACTGGGCTCCGTACAGCTTCTCGTACGCCTGGCCTGCCGTCCCCATCGCCTGGCTGTCCTGGATCTACGTCCGAACCCGTTACCTCGCCTTCTGGTCCAAGTACAACTTTGTACTGTCGGCTTCTTTCTCCGCTGGCATTGCACTTTCGGGCATTCTCATGCTCTTTACCGTGCAGTGGCTCGGTGCTGAGGTCAACTGGTGGGGTACCAGCCAGATCGGCGCCGGCTGCGAGGGTTCCGCGTGTACTCTCAAGTCCTTGGCCGAGGGCGAGCGCTTCTACCCTTGGTGGAACCCATCTCAGGTTCCCGCCCCCTAAGCTGCTTCATCGCTGCTTGTCTCACTGGGCATTTACCGCTTCTGTTGGGCACGCAATGATGAGGTCTGTGGCGGATCTCCCGTCAGATCAACCTTTTGATTCGCACGCACTCGCTGATAATAACGTCTGTTCACGACTATGGTAGAAATGAGAGAGAGAGAGAGAGAGAGAGAGAGAGAGAGAGAGAGATGGATTGTAGCGTTAAGCTGGTTTTCTTGATATCCCCTGATGTTGAGCATAGAGGACCACCCCTCTCAGAATAACATGATAATACCAATCATTGTCGCAATGGCCTAGTTACGTCTCTCACGCCGGTGCGTTGAGCACAACTGACTGGATACTGCAAGTGACTGTGTCGCCGCTCACAGTCGCACTCGTGCCGGTGATGGTATAGTTGGTCGCCGAGTTGTAATTTTGCGGCAAGCTAGTGCACCAACTTGAATCTGAACTACCAGTGGAGGTCTGAAGGCTGTCAGTTGCGTTCCCTGATTGACGCTGGGATATATTTGGGCATACAATTACAACATTGTTGAATGCTAATGGGCCAAAGTCCCATGAGACGTCGTATCTGAAAGGTATTAGTCGATAATTCGTTGTTTGACATCGGGTGAAGCTTACAACTCAATGGCAAAGAGCACTTGATTAAAAGTTTTGTCGGCTGAAGTAGGCACATCGAATCAACACTACGCGGCCTCACCCATCATTCAACAGCGGCTTACCCAAGGCGAAGTCATTGGTAACAACCTGACCTCCAGTTTGCCTCGTCACAGTACTGGTCCACACCGAATTATCCGATTTCAGGATGTTCTGAAACGAAATCGTCTCCCCGCCGTACGTGTTGAAGCCTCCGCCCCAAGGGAGACTCGGGTTGGAGCAGCACCACCCGGAGCCGAGCCACCATGTCCCGCTCCGGCCATCGAGAACATTTTGGTATACACCACTGTTATCGGTTGGTTGCAAGCCTGGCCAGAGGTAGTAAACGCCGGCGCGCGGTAGTGATGGGATCGCCATCTCGCCCGAGAAAGAGGTGAACTTCTGACCTGACGCGGGGTAGTAACGGAGGAAGTACCAAGTCACCGCCGATACTGGATTAGCCAACAAGAGAAGAGGTAGGACGAAAATGGCGCGACGCATTTTGGCGGTGTTATTGATGTTGGAGCTAGATCTCTCAAACCGAGGATGAAAGTCGTGATGCCCTCTATTAAGACGAGATGAACAGACGTACCCAGATGCTGTACTCACCTAGACCTTTTATGCCTTTAGATTACGAACTTATCTCGATATCTCTTGCAACCAGTCATGCAGGAAATCGGGACGATGCCATGCGCGGTTGCAACGGCCGTGCCCCATAATCCATTTCAGGAAGTTGAGCAAATCCCGACCAGGATCAGCTACTCTTCATCCATCTGAAGTCACCCTCCTTTATCAGTGATGATCGGATGGAATCTGCCACGTCTGTTCATTGATACCGGGATGCAACGTGTCAATGCATCCTGACCCGAAATCAGAACGTCATCTGCCTTCTGCCGTGCGGCAGTTGTCGACTCCCCTGCATCACGCGATAAGAAGGCTGCATGCGATAGATGCTCAGGTAGAACTTCATTGGGACGCTTGATTCTTGACGACGACAAGGTTCCATAGTTGGAACGGGGTGGGATGAAGTTTAGATTTCCTTAGGTAGAAGATGGTGCTTGACGAGCCTAGTCTTATCTCATTTACACCGTGTGCCCAAACAAAGGAAACAATCGTAGCAGGATGTGAAATAATGACAGTATGGCCGCTAAGTCTGTTCATGATTACCACTTCACATAAGGTGCGCCTTGGTGCCACCACCAAATCGCCGAGTCGCTACCTTGCGTCCGCATCGCTGGCAGCTGTGAACGACGTCCTTGAAAGGCCTCATGGCATACGGAGCGAATACGCCAACGCCAGTGGTGAAGAAGAGCATGACGGCCATCCAGCTACAGGTATAAAAGTATCAGTCAAGAGCTTCAAATAATTATAAGAGACACGGCTTGAGGACGACGTACTGCGCTCCTTTGCCAATGGTATGGTCCGTTGTAGTGGGAGTAACGCCCTTGCAAGCAGGGCACTCGATCAGGGCAGGCCATCTCTCAACGAGGGCAACAGGCACGACATTTGCACGGGAACCTTCACCAAGAGATTCTCCATGGTTGCAGTGGACGACGTGACAGTATTTGACATTAGGTCCGACGATATCGTGGCTGCCGATGGCAGTTGACGCGGGAGTGTGCATTGCTTGGTATTGAGGAACTGGAGATCGGATGCTGAAATCTTCGGGAGCGTTCGACATCGTTTCTAATGGAACGAATTAGCCTTAGTCATGGAAACTGCCTTGGGGTGTTATATCTTACCAAATTCACTCTTGCTCATGCCTGGGATTACAGCTAAAAACGAGTGTTGTATTCAACTGAGATTAGATGAGATAATTGATGAGGAGTTGTCATCAAGGGCCCGGGAAGAAGGCATTCATATAGACATGGAATAAACACTCGAATAACTTGTAACCCAACCAACGGATAGCAACCCCGTTGACCAATAATCACGGCAGCTGTGGGATAGTTCCTTTGATGAAACACGGAACCTGCCATCTCTACTCTGTCACACGTCAGTTGCATATCGCCGAATGCATCGCTGTAAGTCGTTGTTAAGGCTCTACCAGCCATGTTGTCCGGCATTATCAATAGGAACCAATTACATCGTGGTAGAGACACTGTTGGCCAGCAAAATAGACCTGTGCCAAAAAGTTGCCTCATTCGTTGCTACGAGCCCGTTCCCCGTTTTGGCAGTCGAATCCTTCGGGGAAATGTAGCGCTCTAAATGCTGCTGCCTGGCCGTCTCAAAATAGCACCCAGAGCTCGTGTTCCCTCCCTGCCGATCGCCGAATCCGTTTTCAGTTCCACAACCATACAGGAACCATGACTTAGTGGATTGAACCGGCTTAAATATCAGTGAGGATTCGGAATCCCTGGGCTATGGCTCTCCGCACTTCAAAACCCTGGTTGGAGATGCTTTCGAGGGTCTGTGGACCGTGGCCACGAGGCCTCGTGACAACGATTACTAGGCATTTTCCAACAGAGTGGACCCTGACTTACTCGAGGAAGTAAAGAAGCGTAAAAGCAGTGTTTGGGGTAAGAAAATTGTTCTAAATGCTATATGAAAGGGGGTCGACGAGACACAGTTTCTGCCAGTGGATGGAGTCAATCTTGTCATGATTTGAAAGAGGCTAGCCGCTAATATTAGAGTCAAAGTTAGAGTGACAGGCTTAGCTCTATACTTTCTTGATCCATTCCTTTGTTGCTGGGGAGAGCTGACGCGGCCTCTAACGGTCTGCCATGGCTCGTGGCCTCGGGCCCGGGGAAGCAGGCTGTGTTTTGAGTCTGGCCTAAAGCCACACACATGCAGCCAAGACGTAATTCCTTCTCGTATCAATCGGGTATGAGAGTGGGACGCTCCTGACGCCGTGGGAATGGATTTGACATTATAAGCTGGAGCTAATGACAGTAGACGCTGAAGTCAATTGAGGACCGTGAAGCAGAAGAATAATATCATAACAAGTATATTATGAGCTGAAGCTCTCCCCGAATCTGGCTCGATCCAGGTGCCGCGTGTAAACTAGTCAGAACGCCATACGTACTTCGATATCCGCAATTTATCGGTCAACCCTCAGATTGTGGTATTATCAATCCTTCGGAGTGAAGGTGGGGCTCAAGGTCTGTGACGAGAAGATGAGGTAACGGCATAACAATCAAGATGGTTGAGCATCCTTGCTTACCCATGTATCTTGCCCCTCAGGTCGATTCATTGCTGAGCACAATGGGGGCCCAACACTCAAGCAAGATGTCGCGGTTCGTAACTATGCACATTTATTGAAGAAATTATATGTAAGAATGTAAAACTACGGAATGAAAGCAATATAATGAAAGCAATATCGTGTAGCCCATCGACCCTTTATTCTAGAGAGGTCCGTTACCGTCCTGCAAAACTTCGTTCCACCACTCGTCATGGCCCTCAGATTTACACAGAGTGTCCCAGTCTGCTTCTGCCAACCCTTGTTCCTTGAGATCCTGCTTCTTGAAGATGCGGGGCTTCCTTTTCTGAGCATCCGATGCTGGTGCTGTATAAACCAAGTCTTCCACCCCATTGCGACCCGGTGCTCTGAACAGCGGCTCCAAGGCCTCTCGTGGTTTTGAGTGCAGCTCTAATAAACTTCGGAGATAAGGAAAGAACCAGTTGTTCTTCCACCAATCGCGCAGTCTCTGGCCTTTCAAGCCATTGCGATGGGCATTATGGTGTACCACAACTGGCACTGAAGTACTCCAGAAGTCGGTGTAAAGCGGGAGATCTTGCCATGCCATATTCTTGTCGATAGCAGTCTCTTGGATAGGACTGCGTAAACCAAGTATGTCTTCTGGGATGCCAGTTACCCTTGGTGGATCAATGCCTCTATCGGCCGCAGCTTGTCGGAGTCCTGGACCATCTAACGACACAATGTATAGCCCATCATCTTCTTCGAAAACGGTAGGGGTGAAGAGATCTTGGATGTAGTCTAGGCCAACACTGAAGTCATTTTGCTGAAGTTCCTGAGCAGCCTTTGTAGGATGATCAGCTTGGAGTTTTACCCATTCATCATGGTTTTGTCGCTTAGAAGTCCGCCAAATCTCTTGCTCGCCGAAGATCTCCGCAAAAATACCTTGGTCGCTGAAAATGCCTGCACCGGCAGACTGTTTTTCATCGACTTTCTCTTGGGCACGACGGAACATACGCTTCATGTCTCCGACGGGGCCCATAAGACTGCCGCTGTTGACATACCGTGGGCGAAGGTCGTGCCTTTGCTTAGGATCCTCGTCCGTATGGGGCCCGTACATGTCCTCCCGTGCACTAGACTCGGGAAGATCGTCGCAGTGGGGATCAGAGCCAAGACTAGCATCGGGCCAACATTTCTTCTGGGTCGAGATGATGATAGACTGCCGCGGTACGAGACTGTTTTTCGAGTTCAACGAGAACCAAGAACGGGATCCTACCCAATCTTTTCGAGTACGCTCGTCTGCAGCGTAATTCTGCGCCATGTATCGTCGAATGAGGACGGATGGTGGAAGCTGAAACCAGACATCGTAGGCGTCGACGAGGAGAACGAGGTCATCTGGTCCAAGGCGTTCGTCGTCTGGGGCTTCTTCGGAGGTGATTGAGTCAAGAAACTCGAGAGTGCCATCGATCTTGCCAAGATGAGAGCCTCCGAACCAGCCAGGAGACTTTTGAAAGTCGCGGCCCCAGTTCACAATGACCGAGCTGGGATAGCCGGATGCAATGCTCGACATGAGCATCTTACATAAGTCTGGCGATGGACCATCGGCCGGCACGATGATTCTGAGACGTCGTTGTCCGCCTTTCTCCAAGGGCGGTAGCGATGATAGCGCGTTTCTGTTCGAATCGGGTATGTATTGTGTGATATCTGTGCGACTCTGACTCTGTTAGGGCTGTCACCTGGAGAGGCAGAGGGATACTAACAATGCCATACAGTAGTCCGGAAAATAGGAAAACGGGGACAATAAGCTTGACCAAAGCTTTAGGGGACGTTCTCTGGAGCCTATGCGAGAAGCTTGGCTTGTCGTATGGACCGGGGGACCGGAAAGCTTCAGCATCAATTTCGTTGAGCTTCCTGTAAGCTGTGGTGCGTGGAGTCCTCGTCCAGGCCATAATGCCGAAAGCTATATCCTTGACGACTAACATCTCCCAAAAAAAAAAAAAACTAAAAAAAAAAACTAAAAAAAAAAACTTTTACCAGATAAAGAATGTTACGAATAATCCAAAGCCCAGTCAAGTTTCAAAAGAGTGTGTAAAGAGTTCACTCCGATAAAGCGACTGGTCCGAACGCTTGACGAAGAGGGAAAAGGAGAACAGCCTCTTTATCGAACCAGTTCGCCCAAGTTGTGTGCAGTCTGATCCGCCATTGATCAGGTACATTTGCGAGACATCAGAAAAAGCGGAATATATCTCGATCATAGATACTCCTTGCTGGATGGCTTACTCCTTAGAAAGCTGAGGTGACGCGGCGTTTGCCCTGCGATTGGGCTTAAGACAAATCAAGCCGAGGCGGCAAGGAGCCGCGATTGTGTGGCCGCTTCGCCTTCTCATAGGACAACATCGTATGCCAAGGGGCTCTGGCTCGTCTTGGAAAGACTTCTTGTATGGTCTTGAAGAAATGATGTGTCGTCGACGATAAGGTAGGCCACATATTGAACGGAAGAGGCCCTTACACCCCGGACTCCGGATGCCCTGGTGGCCTACGGCAGTTCGTAACTTGGCAGAGACACTTGGCTTTTGGGTCACCTAAGAGATTAAGACGGCCTGATCAACTTCTTTTTTGTGCTATCTCAAATGATTGTTGCACCGCAGCCATACATGATTGTAAAATGCGGTGCTTTTGAAGTAGCTACTGAGGGCTCTACGTCGAAAGTTCTGCAGGAAGCGCAACTCGTTTGCGAAGTGCGAATGTGCACTGATGTGATCAGAAGTCAACTGAGCTCCAAGATCAGGCTCGTACCCGGGCACACACTTAAGCAAGTCTGCGGCGCGGTACGTGTATATAGTACCAGCCACATCTTGGCTTCAATTCTCTAAGATTCCGGGCCTTTGTTTGATGAGACGCCGGTAGACTGGCTCAACTCAAGTTTCCGATGGCTGTGCGACAGTTTTTCGGCATTTCTCAGGCACCTTTCATTTTCCGAAGCGAGTGAATCTTACTCCGGATAACCCCCATCGTTAAATATGGTAAGTCCATGCAGTAAGGGTCTGCTTCAGCCTGCTGATTAAAACCTACTAATATCAAGACCAGTTAGCCGTCGGGTCATTACCAGCCTGGCCTTGACCGAACCCAAAACCGTAAGTCTCCGGTTGCAAAGGTTGAGATCCAAGTGGGCTACCAGGCTTGCCACTTTCAAAGGGGGTACCAAGAAGTTGTGCAAGCCTCATTGTGAGATTTTGGTCTCGGTTGGGTAAATTTCCCATCAGTCCTTGAACAAGATACATCGGATGTGTTGCCGTGCCGAGCAAAGATTGCAAAACCTGAGTATCAAAAGAAAAGAAATGTCAGTCTGTAGTCGTGGCTTCAAAGCTCGCATTTCAGCTCATGTCTCACCTGTGCATCTTCACTGAGACTAAAGCCTGGTATGAGTGACACACCGCCACCGTTGTTGCCGACCAAATTTTGGGCGCGCATGATGTTCTGGGCATCGTCGACGGCATATTGTGCCGTCCGTTGCATCATGGCGCATGCTGTCAATACACGCTTCAAGTCGCAACCTTCAGACTTTTCGAATTTTTGAAGGAAATGGGCGAAATTTCTTGTTGCTGCTAAATCTCCTCGAGCACGGGCAGAGCCTGGGGTCTCGAGCACATCCGTCAAAAGAGTAATGCTCGCGCAAAGGGGGTAACACAAGATTCGCCTGCAAATGTGAGTCGGGTGTCTCAGACCAAGGGTGACTGCTTCGTGCGCGGAGACTTACCAAAGGTCTGCATATTGCGGTGTTGAAATGGTCCTAAATAGTCCCAAGGTCGCGTGCGCCGCCATGCGGCACCGCTTCTGCGAAAAGGACAGCTGAATGTAGGGCATTTCGAAACCAGCGGGCGTTCCCATGAGGACAGCTACAGTCGAGTATTGATCATGCCGTCTGGCCGCCCAGTGCACCATCATCGTGCACCTATAGAACGCCAACTGCAGATTCAGGATATCTGGTGCAATGTCTGACCCCAATGCAGGGGCTTCATATGATGGTTGGAGGTTTGCGGGCATACTTGATCTCCACTCCTCAAGAAGAGCATCCAAATCGATGATGGCCTTAATCAGATCGGCGTCGGTAAGGCGAAGTCCTTTCGCCGTGTACAATCGTCTTCGGATTGAAGACTCTACCATCGCAAGCTTCGCTCTGAGGTTCAATATGTCAACACCTTCTCCCCAACCGCTGGGCAGTTCAGTCTCAATGTCGTCATCGTCTTGTATCGAATCCAGGCCATGATTGAGACCCGTTTCTTTATCCAGTATGTAGGCCGCCCAGAACACCCGACTCCGTGCTTCAACATCCTGAGCACACATGGACATCATTGTACAAGGCTGCCGATGTAGCCCGATGTTTTGAGACAGTCTTACTGCCGCAGAAGATAGCAGAGTCGCAGTTCTGGTGCATGTAGTTCCTTGCATGAAAACCGCCATAGCGACAATGGCCTGTACCGAGAGCAAGTCGCCACCCTTCACCATAAGCTCTGTCAGGACAGAAAATGCGTTTTTGAAGAAAGGCCAGGCAAGTTGACAAACTTCCTGGAACGCACTGTTGATGGTTTTCCACCGCGTCCCCACAGAGATGACGGCATTCATGTATGCCCATCCCGATGTACTATTGAAAGTGTCATCCGCTTCCGGTAATGTTTCGAAATGACGCACGAAGTAATGAAAGTTCAGAAGCGGGTAATTGCTGATGACGTCGTCGTAGAGAGGCATCAAAATAGTGATGGCTTCCTCCCTTTCGAGTCGAGGAGTGAAGACTTGTCTGTTGAATGTAGAGCAGTAAGAGGCAGAATTGACCTCTCTCATACGGCTTGCAATTACGGCAAAGACCGGCATCTTCCCCGAAAGTTGTGACGGCGGTTCGGGGATCTCCCGAGGCTGAGGAACGGGTGTCTGGCTGCTTCTTGAATTAGGCGCCGACGATACGGCTTCATCACCCATTGGGTGATCTGACGGAACATGACTGGCTGCAGCTTGTGCGGCATCAAGTCGGTGACTCGGTATCGGAACCGTGCTGTTTGCTATGGCCGGACCTGCAAACACGGAGACGGACGCAGCATCCGTTTCTGAAGGCGATATTCTTGTCGGTGGTGCCCCTGGTCTTGGAAGCCCAGCTTGATTGAGTACGGCCTCCATTTTTGATAGTCGTTCTTCTAAAGCTTGAATGTACATTTTGCTATAAGATTCAAGTCAATTCCGATATTCAATCGAGACACGCAAGAGTCATGTAAGTGAGCAGGGTATGAGATGATCGTACCTTCGACCGGGCCCACGGCGCCTCTGTACCTGCTGATACACGCACTCCTGACTACGATTGACGCAAGGTGTACATGATGGAGTCCTTCCATCGCACTTGATCTTCTTCGATTGGCATCGGAGACAGGCCTTTGTTTCCACGTGTAAGTATATGTTGTTGAACGTCCTTACTTCCCTTTGGGTCTCACAAACCTTCGCAATGCGAGAAGCTTTGTCTTGGGTCCGCCCGCTCTGGACGGACTCAGTATCCATAGCGTCCATGGCAAAGCATGTATGTTGGTATGCCACACCCGGTGCGTGGAGGTGTGGGGATGCCGGAACGCCAACACCCCGGACGGTTCAGTTGGTTCAGTTGAGAATCGGACGGCTGTTTCGGGAATGAGTCCGGACTGAGCGACCCACTCGGCCGGGCGGCGCGTTGCGATATGCTAATAACACCTCGGCTCCGAATAGCAGCCGGCAGTCCGCAAAAGAGAAACAGATTGAGAATCCGACCAAGACTCCGGGATCGAATCGGACAAAATTCAGGAAAACTTTCACTGTAGATGAGAGAGGAAGAGGAAGTAGTTTCATGATTGGCTCGGTCACGTAATTTCCGGAAGTAAAATGCATCCGTGCTAGAGGGTTAGGTAAGGAGGCTGCCCAGATCCGACTCAGTTCAAGCGCCGCAAAGGGAACTTCCCGCAAGTAATCTATTCCGTATGGGGACACATCCGCTTTGGGCACTCTAGAGTCTGCACACTCACTAGACTTATGGATCCTTTAATGGCTTCACGGAAGCAAATTGTCACCGAGATATCTGGATAGGATCCCGTATGGAGTATGAAGAACGAATACTTGATTCCACCAAGTCCATGGTAAGTTGGCAACTGTGTTGATTGAATCCGCCTTTACGGATACAAAGTTCCAAAACCTTATTTGCTTCCGCCGCCAAGATAATGAGGGGATATGGATACACCACTACAAACTCCGCCAACTACTAATTAGCGGAGTATTGATTGTACTACAAATGTATGCTCGTAGAATAATTGATGGATCTCTATAAGAGCCAGTGCCACCACGGCCAGTATTGTTGTCATAGAGCAACCAAACTCACAGCAACTCTATCTTTACTCACTCCCGTGATTACTGTGAATAGCTCCTTCTAGTCTTTTATTCCGAAAGCATCACACGCAAAATGGCAGTCATTGCAGTTGCCGGAGGCACCGGAAATGTGGGCCGAACTTTGGTCGAGGCAATTGTGGCCACTGGCAAGCATGAGGTCAAGATTCTCGCAAGAAAGGTAGGACACAACACTGTGAGATGATCGTTCTAGAACCGGTGCCAATTTATATCTTTAGGCGAACCCTGAGTTGGAGAAGAAACTCGGAGCTTCGATCGTCGTGGTTGACTACGCCGATGTAGGAGCTACAACCAAGATCTTGGAGGAGCACAATGTCCATACGGTCATTTCAGCCATCACCATGATGCCGCCACCAGGAGAGACTCCCCTTGAGTTTGAGCTGATTCGCGCCGCCGATGCATCAACGTCGACCAAGAGAATGATCTCTAGCGGATGGGGCGTCCCTCACACCGAGAGGTCAGTCTACATCGAACGCAGATGTGATCTAGAATTTCAGATTTGCACCCTGATGCTGACAATCAATGAAGCCAGAGCAGCCAACTGGGCTCTGTGCCCAACAAACTTCGCGCTGCCGCTCTCTTGAAAGAGACAAAGGATCTTGAGTATACCGTCGTCCACAACGGCTTCTTCCTTGACTACTGGGCGACACCTGCTATTCCCTCATATATGAGCCCTTTTACCCTCTTTATCGATATTCCAGGCAATGCCGCAGCGATTCCCGGCTTGGGGAACACACCTTCAGCTTTCACGCATACAAAAGATGTGGGGAAGTTTGTAGCTGCTGCACTGGACCTGGACAAGTGGGAGCCTGACACTTTCATCGTTGGCGACAAGGTTACTTTCAATGAGTTTGTCCAGCTTGCAGAAGCTGCCAAAGGTAATTTCTTATTAAATTCACAAGTAAAGACACGGTCCAAGCTAACCAAATATATCAAAAGGCACCAAATTCAACGTTACGTATGACAGCATTGAGAAGTTAAAGACTGGTCAGGCGACAGAACTGCCCAGCCAGGTACCTGCATACGCATTCTTCCCCAAAGAGGCATATCAGGGCATGGCTGCGGTATTTGGTCTCTGGTTTGAGAATGGGAGCTTCAATATCCCCCATGCTGGAAAGAAAACGCTCAACCAGATCTTCCCTGACATCAAGGCTTGGACCGTGAAGGAAATTCTGGATACTGCTTGGAAGGCTTAAGCCATCGCAGTGTCGCAGTGTAAGGAATGGCGCAAGTGTATTTACATGTCCTTCCTAACCTTTTCGAGAGAATGTTACATCTTGACTCTAGGAATTCCAATCCATATTGAGTCGCAGGTTACCAGCTCCACACCATCCGCGTCTTTGAGAACAGCTTTGAGCATGATCTTTTTCCCACGGATTTCCTTGATTTGCCCGGTTCCTATCACAACACTTGGCGTTTCAATGGGCTTGAGGTATTTGATGTTCATCGAAGAGGTGACTGTGTTCATCTTGAAGATCGGGTCGTCTCTCTCTGTGTCCATGTTTCTCTGAATCAAGACGCCAAGGATCTCGTCGATCAAAACTGCGGTCATGCCACCATGCGCGATGTTGGGATAGCCATCAACCCCTCTTGAGAGCGCGAATAGGGACGAGAGTTCGGTGATGACAGACCGACCGGGGGTCTCGGTATGAAAGCTGATGCAAGCTGGTATACCGGTCGAGCTATTGAGTGTTTTACCGAAGAACCTGTCGTGTGGGTTTGTGTTTTCTGGTACCCGGGATGGCGGAATGAAAGTTACGACTGTCGGGTTTTTGAGGAGTGCGCGACACCAAGGGAGGGCCTCTAGTTCAGCGACCGTCTGCGGTAAAATTCCGTCATTCTGAACTCGACTCATGATGGATCCTAGCTCCTGTTGGAGAGAAGCAAATGCACAGGCGTTGCTGATGCGTATTGAATGCGAAATTGGCGATGAGTTGCTACTTAGAAGTCTGAAGGTCGCCACAAAACAAGCGAGTTGGACCTCGGCAAGGATTCCGCAGCGCTTTCAGCGTGCATGTTTCACGTGAGTAAACAGTGCATTAAACCTCATAATAGGTGCCAACCGTTCACCACTAAGCCATATGCATTAGTACTTAACCCAACGTTGTATTGGCACTCAATAATATTAATCAGAAGTTTCTAGTACCTGCCATCATAATTCCCAATGGTTGATTTGTGAGCTTATTCCATCGGGTGCTGGATAGCGTTTGTACATTGACCTCCAGTTTTCTCTAGCGCCGATCCCTTTTAGAATTTTCTAATTAGGTGTATCGGAAGGAATTAGAATGGTAAAAGTACGGATTACAAAGGAATAATACGTAATTCGCTGTTATACCGAGTGGCGATTTACTGACGCTATTCAACACCCGATGTGATACGTTGCGCACTTCTGTTGACAACTTTGGGCTGAAGTCATCGAATCACGGAGTAGCAATTCTCTGTTCGGAGACATCACATATTCAAATATCAAGTTGTTGCGATTTAGAACGTTCTGAGTTTACTTGAAGAGTCATCAACTAAAATGTGCTGCATTATTATGCGAATTGTACAGTTCTCTTCCTAATGTGGACACAATCGCTTTCAGTTCTTCTCAAGCTGTCGGGGCAGGAACCACAGCCAAGGTAACCTCGTAGCAAGGACGATCTGCTCTGATGACTGGATTAAGGTATTCAGTTAGCTTCGAGATCATAGAAAAAGGCTTGGTATGTGGAGAATCATAGATCGAGGGATGGGAAGTCAGAAGCTCACCAGTGTTACCGGGAGGCGAGTATCTGGCCTCATGCCTCTCGCCGGAAGCACTTCTGAAGCAGATAAAACCACCTGGCACAGCGGCTCTGGAAACAAAGTCCAATTCGACCTGGACAGCATCCGTGTCCGGGTTGCATCCATACACCGGCTGGAAGAAGGCCTTGGGATCTCCGCGTTCCGTCATGAACATCTTGGTCGTGTTGTCGTCTGCAGTGTACTACGAAGTGTCAATAAAATACCAACGTCGAACTGCGATCGATCAACTTACTTCTCCGTTAATGACGGCATGAATGATGCCCCTCGATAGCACGCCGTTGACTAGGGTCAAGTTGAAAGCAGAGTCTCCAGCAGGGCTCAAGTAGAGATGCTGGTCACCACCGCCTGCTGACCACAAGTTGATATAGCGATTGTGAATGATGGGCACTGAAGCGTTCTGAACCTGGATTCCGAAACCCTCGGTTATGTTGTTCGAAAGAGGTTCCGTCGGAGGGGTGCACGCTGATACGACAGCCGCAGCCGATAGCACAGTCTTGAGAATTGAGCCAAGCATCTTGTCGTTGAATTTGATCAAGCAAACGTCTGAAAAGTCAAGTCTAGATGCAAACAGCCGAATTATTCTCTACTCGGAGAGCGCGAAGGCTCGATATAATAAGCCTTCAGACTTATCGCACCCCAACGGTGCAGAGGCTGCCAAGACATAGACGAATACGAGATGCTGCATTGCTGTTGCATCGCGTCGCTGACAGGTTGGCCGTTGCAAGCTTAATTGATGTCGTGGTGATCAATATTCTGCAGCCAACAGGCGGCAGAGGCCTCGATCGTCCCATGGCCGACTGGAGAATAGCACTCCAACAGGCACAGCGGTCTTACCCCAGCATATCAGCCCTGTTGATGTTACGTTCGAGCCTGTGTTTCCTGCCAGATTGGGGCTTAGTGTAACTGCAAGTAAGACCAGGGAAATGTTGGCGGCCACTATCAGATGCGGCCCGGACAGGTACGCGCCTGACTTCTCTGCAATCTCACAAGATCAAGGGCATCCAATATGCATAGATAAGCACTATTGACTCGCCCACATGAACGCGCTGATGTGGTTGGTCTTGCTTGACGCGACGAGATTGTCGGGAAATTCAATTGAGTTTATTCATGCACCTCCTTGGATTTCGAAAGGCATTCGATTAAGGCTGGCCTTCGTTCGTGGTTTATTAGTCGTCATTCTCTCATACGCACCATGAGCGCTCAGTAATGTCTCTCACCGGCTCACTCCCTCATCAACGATACAGTCACAGCGAACGCCAATGATAGTATCTTGATCGATTGGGGAGGTCGAGACATACATCTTTCCCGGCTTAACAACTTCGCTCTAGGAATTACTTACCTGAATAACACGCGTCTGCACGCGTGCTTGATGGGGTGATGTCAGTGCCTAGGTACCTAAGTGAGCTGCATCTGCCTTGCTTTCAAGTGTCAGGGAAGGTAACCTGGAGAGGAAGGGTAACGTCTTTGAGTGGGCCCGGGAATAACAACAACACAACGTTCAAGGGAACGCGAGCGCCACTCTTGCACCACTGCCGACTGGCTTCGTCATTCTATCGGCACTCTCGATTATTCCTCATTTGATCAGGTAGTGGGCGGTTCAATTGATTGTTAAGATCGCCTTTGAGCCTGAGGCATATTCACATATAATCATGGAAAGAGGAACAGTAGTTGGGTGTGGTATTCGTGGATACCAAGATCATGACGATTGAATCATTTCGCTAAAAAGACTTCCGCTTGCTAATGCTGAACTGTTTCTATAGTGTCCATCCTGCAAATTCCCGGCCGCATAATTATTCCATTTCACATTACGCAGAGTCATCGGTCTGCTTCTCAACGTAGTCGGCCTTTTGTGATGGCTTGTCGCTCTCGAACTCCTGGGGCATAGCGATAGGTCGGTTCTTGGCGAACTTGACCGTGGCAAACACGGAAGGAGAGTCCTTGAACAGCATTTCGATCTCCTCCAAGTTGCGGCCCATAGTCTCGGGGAAGAGGAAGTAGACGCTGACGGGAATGCAGGCCGAGATGACGGCGTAGACAATGTAGTATTGGTAGCCGATCGTATTGAGGGCAACGGGGGTGACCATGACAACGATGAAGTTCCTGGGCAACCGTTAGTAAAAAGAGATGATGGAAAACGAGAAACGTAGCTGTGACTTACCAGAGCCAGTGGTTGGCAGTAGAGATGGAAGACATGGCCATGCGGAGACGGATGGGTGCAATCTCGGTGCAGTACAGGAAGTTGGCACCCAAGAAGCCGATAGGCACGAAGGTGTTGAATAGGTAGATGAAGCAACCAGCGGCAATCTGGGCAGCGGTGTTGTCCTTGGGGAAGGATGTGGTGATGGCCAAGCAGGTCATGCAGGCAGCCATTCCGAAACCGCTGAAGATGAAGACAGCACGGCGACCGAATCGATCAATGGCGAAGAAGGCTAGGAACGACGAGAGGAACTTCCAGGTCAGGGCACCTCCAGCGAGGGCCTTGGACTGCTCGGCCTCCATGCCCAAGTTCTGCTGGAACAGGATGGGAGCGTACACGGAAACGAGGTTGCTTCCCGACATCTGCTGGTAGAACTGGAGCAGGATGCAGAGTCCGAATCGGTAGGCGAGCTTGTCATCGCCCATCTTGAGCATATCGGAGAGCTTGGCGGCGTTCTGCGTGGTCTCCTCGAGAGAATGCTCGATACCAGCAACCTCGGCCTGGACTTCAAGAGAGTCCTCAGGCAAGCCACGGAAAGCGGCGATGATGGAACGGGCCTCGGCGGAGCGAGCCTTCATGACGAGCCATCTGGGCGACTCGGGAAGGAAGTAGATGCTACCCATCAGCATCAAGGAGAAGAGAATGGCAATCGCGATAGGGGGACGCCATGTGACGGGGCCAGTCTTGAACTCCCAGAAACCAAGGTTAATCCAGCTCTCCAAAACGTAACCGACGCAGGTAAAGAGACCAGTCAGGACGACCTGGCGACCACGGTTCTTGGCGCCGGAAGTCTCACTCTGCCACACGGGCACAATAGAACTGAGCTGACCAACTCCGAGACCAACGATGAGGCGACCGACGATAAGCTGTGCCAGGTGGAAGGAAGCACACTCGAGGATCTCTCCGATGAGAGTGCAGACACCGGCGAAGAAGATGACATTGCGTCGTCCGAAAGCATTACCAGACCAGGAGCATGAGAGAGAGCCAAAGAGGGCACCAATAGTGAAAGTAGCAACAACAAAACCCTGGAGAGTTGAGTTGGCGTTCTTGGTCTCGCCGGTGGTGTTGACGGTATCGATCTGAGGGAAGGTCTTGACCCAATCCTCAGTAGTGAGGAGACCACCGAGGCCAGCCTGGTTGTATCCGAAGAGGATGAAGGCCGGGCAGACAACGAGAGCGATCTGGATAACGCTCAGGGCATTGCCCGTCTGGCCGAAGTAGTTCGCACCCATTATCAGGGCTGATGTGTGCGCGCGGCTGTGATCCGAATTCTTCAGGTGACGGGTGAAGGTTCGGCCTGAGAGTATGTCCGCACGGTAGGAATGAGAACAGACAGTCGACGAGGGATGGGATAGAGAAACCAGACTAAAGGCACACGACACAGAGGCGAGGCGACCTCGTTCTTAAGGAATTTCATCTAGCGGACCGCGTTCATCTCAATGTGACTGTCCCTTGTGGGGAAAGGTCTGCGGAGACCCCGCGGGATTCTGACCGCAAAGGCAGATTCATAATCCCAACTCCAAACGAGCTTGCTTCTCCGTTGAGGTAAGGGTCAGCAATGTGGAGGGGCTGCGAGCGAAAGATGGAGAAAAGAAGGAGAGGGGAGATGGCCCTGGCGGGCCTGGGGAGTCTTGGAGAGGGCTTGACAAGGTATCTAGTGTATGGAGTAGGACGGAATAGCCCAGCGTAAGGTGAGCCAAAGCTACGAGGGATTCGTACGGGCAGCGGCGGGCCTTCCTCTGTCGTCAATGCCGACTACGCTCCGTTGTGCGTGGCCCGGTTGACTCGGCCAGGGCTAGGACGGAAGTCGACCGAGCCAGCCACACCCGTCCCGTTTCCTTGAGGGCGATAGCTTCATCACACCTCCCCCGTGGAGACGCTCAGACGAGTTGTCGTTCCACCTATTCGCCGCCTTCGCTCATGACGACCCTCCCAGGTCCCGCCTTGTTGCTTAAATCCCTCCCACCATCCAGCAAGCAAGCTGCGGAACCGGCCTATGGTACATGGCGGCTAAAGGGAGCAGAAAAAGCCAAAGAAGCTTGGTCGTACGAGCCTAGATGCAGGCCTTAGAAGACGACGGATGCAATGGATGGTTCGGTGTATGGATTGTGGGAAAATGGTTCCACCTACAAACACACGGCGCTTTTGTTGAAGCGTCGTTGAACGGTTGAACCGTTGAAGATGATCCGCCCAGCACTGATAACGATGCCATGCAATGCGGCGAAAATTAAGCAACAGCAGCCAAGACGGCAGCATGCGATGCCAAGGCCCCAACGTAGGCCAAGAGTTGACCAAAAGGACCACTATCAGTGGATGTGCGAACCGAAAAGACCCCCACGTCACGAACGGCTTGCTGACTCGCGGCCTTTGAGAACACGGCGCGAACGGGGATAGTGACGACGGCGTAATACACGGCGTAACTTAGTAAGACACGCTACGCCTTCTAGAAGGCGCGCAATAAGATAGCGGCATAAGGCCCGCGCCCGTTTCCTCCCATGCTCCCCTCCTTCGATCAGATCTCATGTATAGAAAGGGGCCATTGGTGTGGTGCGGAATCTTGGAAGCATATAAGTCTCAGGACGGCCCTCGTGTTCCTCACCTCGCCGGCCGGACCCTGGCGGCTGACGGCACTCGCTACGAATGCGACGAGCCGATCGGCTTCGCTCTCCCTATTCACGGCGAGCGTTGCCCAATGCAGGTGTATGACCACTAGCTTGCGGCACTTGGGATTGGGTCCGTAACCTGCATGCGAGATTCGGTGATCCATCCGCGCTTCGGAGGTTTACCGAGTCCACATTGTTCCTGCGGTTGCGGCTCTCTTGTGACTGTTTTGCCAATACTCATTGCAAACTCTTTACGACCACGTTACTCAACAAGGAGCAGCCAAGAGTCTGAGAACTTGAAACGTTGAATTCTGTGAGTAAGTAATCAGTCTGATGTGACTGTAAACAATGTGTCAATTGCGAGCCATGGTTCCACCTTGTTCCGCGGCGTTTCTAGACGTGTGTATCTGTAATGTGCGCAGCCGAAAGCAAAACTTCTCGCGGAATCCGTGACGTGCCCAGAAAGCTTCCTTCTTCCAACCTCCAACACTCATGTTCGCGCAACCAAGCTACTCCAGCTTTTCCCCAGACGTCGACGTTTCGAAATAACCCTTCTTCACGGTGACAAGTCCGCAATGCGCGAGAACGCGGGGGACGAACCCTGGTCTGTGACGTTCAGGTCAGCCAAAAAACCACATTTTCGGACGGCGGTATTGGATCGTCCGGTCTTCTAGCGCAACTCACTTTCCGTCTAGTTTTCGTGATGCCCACTTGTCGACGGCCAGCAACGCGAGCACGATGGAGGCATAGAGAGGAATCCCCGCGGGGTAGTCTCCCTCCCACAAAGAAAGCGGGTGAGCCATGACCACGGTGGCCGTGAAGGTTTCCCCGTACGTTCTGAATCCCTGGAGATGCTTCCCGAACGTGGAGAGCCATCGGACCCAGGTGAAGTTGTTCAGCAGCTTGACGGACGCTCGGTGCCACTGCGCGTTACCATGCACGTACCCCAACGTGGAGGCGAGCGCTCGCTGCAAAGCCGTTGCCTGGAATGTGGCTCTGATGAAGGGAATATTCCCCTCGCGGACATACCCAGCCAGATGGAAGCTTCCGGCTGAGAAGGCCAGTCCTAGAACGAGGTCGATCAAATTTGGCACGGGAGGTTCACCGGTGATGACGAGAGGGTAGTAGTATCGGGCCAACTCGATGGTCCCGAGAATGACATGGATCATCAGAGGAATCCATGGCAGCGCCGTATGCTTTGCATGAGTCGGCGTCGAAACTTTCCTCCAACTTGGCACTAGAAAACGCAGGTACGTGCTCGAAATCCAGAAGATTTCGAGAAAGACGTGGTGCTTCTCAAAGAGCAGTTCTGCCGCGTCCCAGCCGTCGTTGATGCGAGCCCAACTTGAACCCATCATTGTGGGTCGAACTCCAGTTCCCTGCAGGTTTCCTGCCGTGTCGTTGGGCGCCTCGAACGGGTTGAAGGCAGCACGAAATAAACTCGGAGACTTCATCCGGGCGGTGGCGTGGGGTTTCAAATAGTTCTGGGGACCTTTTCGCAAACTAGAAAACCCCATAGTGCATTGACGGCGGCTTTATATTTCCTTCATCCCATCCTTGTTGCGTCTGCGGTTGAAGGATTTACTTGCTACTGGCTGAATCTACTTGGCCACCGGCCATAGCCATAGGAGGCACTTTGGTTTGAACGCTCTTGAACGTGTGACCGTACAATTTGTCCCTCTCGAAGGATTGGCTTAGTGCTGACGTTATCTGGCACGAGCTTCACGGAACCGCTTTACAATATGTCGCTCGCAAATGCAGACGGGAAAGATTCACGCTGGTTCGACAGCGCGTCAGCAATGTCCGTGTCAACTCTACGCCATCTACCTCATCCCAGTCGCTAGGCGTGCCAGGCCTGCGTCGCCAAGATCGCCTATAGATCGGCGCCGTATGCCAAGGTCGGGGTCGCTCGGTTCGAAAGGCAGCCTTTCCAGAAGCGGCAACAGCTCGTAACTCCAAGATTCAATGTTCCAGCTAGCGACGCACTGTCATCAGCGGCCGCATGGAGGCTGCAGCTCATTCAACCTGATCATCTCCCAGATGAATTCGGAAGAATTCGGCTTGATCTCTGAGTTCGCTCAACAACTTATAGCCGCAACTACCAAGCGATAGGTTGGATTTCAAGAACCATTGACGGGTCTAACCCACTCGAAACGCGATAAGTCCCGGAGCTTCTAGAGGAACTTATTAATTGACTACCACCGATAGGACAAACCTTCTTCAGAAGTTCCGGATTATTGGCGCGACAGAACTCAGTTGTGAACGACACCGCAGCTCGTCTTGAGTCCTGAGCGATCCGACTTGCGCTTGAATATCATTTTCCTGCTCAAAGTCTGATCGCATAGTAATATTCCAAGCAATTCGTCATCCGCTGAGACGAGGAGGATGATTGCAGTGCCTGGACCTCAAAAGTGACACGCTCTTAAGACTCATGCATCAACAAGTGCTTTTCAGACTAAGCCATGCATGCCCAGTGCCGCTGATCGAGGATAGAAACTAAAATCTTAAACGGGTAGATGAGGTGTGACAAGATGATTACCATGCGTGAACGGCAAGACCTATGATCAGGTCTTGATAACCGCTTGTAGGAAGATCGACCATACGGTCAAATGTAGATGAGATGACATCGTCCTGTGAACGACTTGAATGTGTGAAATTACAGGCAATTACGGCATCTCGCGCAATGCCATGACAATGGCTATGCTATCAGAGTTATTTTACAGGATGTGCAGACTACTCACGACAAGGCAATGGATATCCAAAGACGCGAGAAACCTGTTTGCAACATTGGTCATTGAGCTAAGACTCCGGCAGGCGCATAACTTCATATCAACTTCAATACACATAAAATGCAAATTTCGCTTGCAGAGTCAACGCTGGCTCGCTTGCTATATGAAAAGACAAAATTATATCAGCATGCCCTCCCTTTTACTCCCACTAGAAAGATCATTCCGCCCAGGGGTATTTCCTTTGCAGCAGACGATCCTCGACCCAAGCTCCGAATTCAACGCCGATATCTACATCTACCAAGCACACTTTGCAATGATGCCCGTGGGCCACTTCCGCACGGCAAACTTTCTCGCCTCATCAATGAGAAGGATACCCAGACCAAAAGTCATCGGCAGGAACCAGTATTCGACAGGGACAGGGGCCGTGGCGAGTGTTGTCTGGAACTCGGGGACGTACAGCCAGAAAATGGCCATCAAAAGCGCAAAGATGATGGCGGGGAAGAGATACAAGTTCTGTGTGCGCTTGTTGCCGATGGGCGGGTGCTGGAACAGCGACAATCGACGAGTGCGAATAGCCAGGAGGTTGAACCACTGCATAACGACGAGGTTGACAAAGTAGATTGAGCTTGCAACGTTGAGCTTCTGCTGGTAGTAATCTGGATCGATCGTGGAAGGCAAGTTGCCGAAAGAGAACCAAATGTCGCTGAACTTGATGCCGTTGCGCTCCAGGTACCAGTACGACATAGCAAACGAAGACAAGGTTTCCAAGACACCCACCAGGCCGTAGGACTGCACGACGAGCTGCCAGTCCACGAGGCGGTCCTTCCCGGGAACGCGAGGCTTGCGAAGAAGAACGTCGGCCTCGGGTGCCTCGTAGGCCATGGCGATGGCGGCGGCAGCGTCGGTGAAGAGACAGATGATGATCATGAGGAAACTGCTAAGGATCTGGGGAATGCCAAAGAGAACGTTGGTCATGACGGGCCAGAACTCGGAGAAACTACCAGCCGGGAGGAGGTAGGCGACGGTCTTCTTGAGGTTGTCAAACATCATGCGTCCGTACCGCAGGGCCTCGACGACGCTGGAGAAGGAATCGAGCAGAACCATGTCGGCGGCCTCGATGGCGATGTCGCTTCCGGAACCGAGGGCAATGCCGACATCGGCGGCGCGAAGGGAAGGTGCATCGTTGACGCCGTCACCGGTCATGCCTACGATCTCGTGACGAGACTGGAGTTCGCGGACGATGCGGAGTTTCTGCTCTGGCGTAGTGCGAGCGAAGACGATTTCCTGGTATTGAGCCAGCTGGTCCCACTGCTCCTCGTTGAGGGTCATCAATTCGGGCCCGGAGAGGACGAGGGCTTGACGTGGAGAGGATTCGAGGTCGTCCACGATGTGTTTGATCGAGGGGTCGACGTGGTTGATGCGTTGGAGAGCCGAGATGTCGTCTACTTGCGACTGAGGAACACTGATGATGTTGCATTCGGCTGCGATGGCCTGAGCAGTGAGAGCGAAGTCACCGGTAACCTGGATGCGGTCAATTTTCTGCGTAACCTAGAAGTACACCAGATTATCGGGAGTAGCTTACCATGAAGATGCGGATACCTGCGCCACGAAGAGTGTTCATGACCTCGGGAATCTCGGGACGAGGAGGATCGACGATCCCAACGAGACCAACGAGCGTAAGACCGGATTTTGCCTGGTTGTTAATCTCCATCTCATAAGCGCTGTCAGACGGGTGACCCTTGAGGGCAGATCTTGAGATGGCCTTGCGAGCGAGCAACAGCACACGACGCCCCTGAGCTGACCATTCGTCCTTGATTTGCTCGATGGATGCACGAGTTGAAGGGTCTAGAGCGGTAGTGTATCCGGCAGGGTTGACGTAGTTGCTCAGTCTCGGCATGAGCACATCAGGAGCACCCTTGATGGTCAACAGGCTAGTTGCACTGTTAGATCATGCCCTTTCTTTGAAATCGTGTTCGACTCGGAAACTTACACATCGCCCGGCTGGAAGACTGAAGCAGTATCGGAAGGCAAAGCAAGCGACAGTCCATCAGGGTGTGACATGCCGAGAACCCGAATCATGTACTTGTTTTTGCTGTTGAATGCAAGCTCATACTTTGTCTGCCAGCAACGTCGCAACTCAGCGGTCTGTCCCAGGCTCTCAGAGAAGCGCAGGATGGCCTGGTCCGTGGCATCACCGTGAATGACGCGCTCATGGAGCGGCAAGCGGACGGTCGCGGCATCGAATTGGCCGGCGTTGCAGAGACCAGCGAGCGCACGAAGCTGCTCCAAGGAGTTGTTATTGGGGTGGTTGTGTCTGTCGACTGCGATCTTGTCCCGGGTACCATCGGCCGTCATCTTCATGGTACCGATGGCACACTCGGTCACTATCATCTTGTTCTGCAAGGTGATTCGTTAGTCTCCATACTATAACGAGCTAGGTACCAATAATCATGCAACTTACCTGGGTCAGTGTACCCGTCTTGTCGGAACAAATAATCGAGACAGAACCAAGTGTTTCGACAGTCTTGAGCGACTTGCACAGAATTTTGTTCTTCCGCATCATGTTCGCGCTGATGGTCATGCTTGCGGTCAAAGCAACAGGCAAACCCTCAGGAATGAAGGCCACAGCGACAGAGACGCAAGAGATGATCAGATTGGGAACATTGATCCAGTTAGGATACTGTTTCCTAAGCCATGCACCCCTGTCAATGGAAATTAGGAGTTAGCGTATGACCTTTATACAAGATATACATCTGGCCTGATGGCATACCAAACAATCAAGACAAGCACAATCATGAGGAACATGATGGAGCAGATGATTAGCACAAAGTGCAAAACCTCGCGTTCCAGAGTTGTCAACCCCTTTTTGGGCTCGTTGGTCAGCTTGGCGATGCGTCCGAAAATAGTGTTGTCACCAGTGGCTACGACAACACCAGTGCAAGTGCCCGAGACACAATGTGTGCCCTGAAGACCGATGCATCGAGTCTCGAGGTAGTTGTTATCGGTCGAGTCGACAGAAGCGGGCAAAGGGACAGACTCTCCTATTGTTTTGTACTTTGTCAGTGATTATTTCCAACGTGAGAATGGAAGGGAACCTTTGGACCACGAATGCCTGATTTGAGAAAGCCATAAAGGAAAATAACTTACCAGTCAAGATGGCTCTGTCAAACTTTGCATCAGAAGAGACCTTGAGGAAACGCACATCAGCAGGCAATTTGTTGCCTGACTTGACAATGAGAATGTCACCAGGGACAATGTTCTCAGCCATGAGCTCAACCTGGTTGCCATCACGAATAACCATGCAGTTCTCAGGCAACATAGTCTTGATGGAGTTCATCACACGCGAAGAAGACCAGTCCTGCCACATGTTAAAGGCAGCCTGGATGAAGAAGACGGCAAGCAGCACGATGGCCAGCGCCAAGTTAGCCACAGCGGGAGGGCTTCCCAAGGGCTTCCATGCGATGAAGACGAGGACGGAAGCCACGAGGAGGACGGTACCGAAGCCCTTGAAGAAGTATCCGAGGATGCGTTTCGTGTGGTTTGTAGGGGCGGGAGAGGGAGCGTTCTTGCCATAGTGTGCTGTGCGGCGCTGGACCTGGTCTGCGGATAGGCCGTCTGCGAGGGAGGACGACTGGCGTCTGAGAAGCTCGTCGACGGAGAGAGTGTGCCATTCGAGTTCCGAGAGTTCTGCAAAGATGCAGATGGTATTAGTCGCTGCAGTTCACGTTGTTTTCGAAACACAATAGATTAAGACGAGGGCTGTTTCACGACTCCACGAACCTGTTGCGACATTTTTGGCCTTCTTGACGGCTTCGGTTTTTGTCTTGTACTCTTCAATTTCAAAGGAACTTTTCGAAGCGGATTGTTAGCCGAGAGAAAGATGTTGATGAGGCATTTCCTGTCATCGTTTTGTCGCATGTTTTGTCCACACTTACACCGTGCGGTACTGGATAGGAAGCTCAGCGGCAGCGTCGATGGAGTTGCGTCTCGACCGGACCGAGTGTATAGACATTGACGTGTTGGACCGGGCATGATGAAGAGCCGGGCCAGCACTGGAGCGGTGAGCCTTCCTGCCGGCCTCTTCGTCGGCGTCCCAGCGAATACGGTCACCAGCCGCCTCCTTTTGGTGTTTGAGCTCAGATTCGTCGTCCATTTTTTTCTAAGCGGGTTTTTCTTCCGAGTTGACAAGTTTGGTGCAACGTGATCTCAAGATAAGAATAAAAGTAGGGTAGAATATGGTTTTCCGGGTTGTCAGGACAGCTCAGAGTAACAACAACGACAACAACAGGAAGGAGGCCTCACTCAGAGAGCAGAGGGAGAGAAGGGAGGGAAGTGAGAAGTGAGCGAGTCTGTGAGCAGATCTGCACTGCAACGTCCTGCAAAACATTCAGGGTCTTATATACGAAATGGACAAGGCAGGGCCACGAGACAAGAGACAGGACGGGAAGTCCAGAATAGGGTATCCGTCTTAACCCTCATGTCTATCATGAGCTCTTGGCATTTGTGTATGCAAATGTTTACGAGAGACAATAAGCCTCTCCCAAAAGGTACGGTACCGTACACGCCGCACCGCCATTGCGGAGATTGCGGCATCCGCATTTATTCCATCACATGGCATGGGCTGGGACTCGACGCTTTGCTTGACTTGGATCGACTTGGGATGGTGTCAAGTAAGAGGAGCACAATAAGAGCCTGTTTTGGTCGCAGGAAAGGGAGGAGGGGAGACACGGGAAACACCAAGCGAGCGGCTTTTTTTTTCTGACTCCCGAGGAGTCGGTTGGATGGGATGGGATGGGCAGGGCGTATAGTCAAGAGAAGGAGGAGAGGGAATGGGGGTGCAAGTTCACAAGTCGCGTTCCCCAGTTCAGGCAGCCCAGACGATACAAGAGACAAGACAAGACAAGGTATGGGCGACGAGACGAGCACGAATGTGGTGAGCAATGACAAACAGGAACATGGCCCCAAGGCCAAGACCTGAACGTTAAAGGCAACATCAGCAACTACCCTTACGGAACACTAGACGACGACTCGACGAGCAGAGCCGACGGGCGACGTGCGAAGAAGGATGGAGGTTGGACGGCGGGTTGTATCTACGGCGCCAGGAGGCGGTGAAATGGCACTGGGAATCCAACGTGCCGAGCGTACTGTGGCCGACAAGTCTGAAAGCCTACGGGAACACGGGAATCTCATGCCTCATGCGCAAGACTTTTTTTGCTTCGGCGCGGCTAAGCCAGGCCGGGCTGTTTTGAAATGAGCAGGGCCGGCGAGAAGGAAGAGAGGTGTCCAAATCAAGAGCGAGAGGCGTGTCACAGAAACAACGTTGCGTGCGGCCGCACCAAGGACCAAGGGGGAGAAGAGTACCGCCAGGAGGAGGCTCGGTTGCGCTTTGGAGGAGACGATGATGGGGTGGACGGGGGGTGGTTGGTTGTCTGGCTAGGGGGGAGGGGGAGGGCGTTTAGAACGGGAAAAGGAAAAACAAAATAAAAATAAAAATGGGAGCAGCAGACTGAAAGAAGAGAGACAAGGCACGGCTATGGCAGGTAAACAGCGGGCCTGGTTGAAAAGGTTAATGAAGGAGGAAAAGGGTGCAAGTATTGAGGGTGATAAATCGCTCATAGAAAGGGTTGGAGGCGTTGATGCGAAATTACACGTTGGTGAAGTCTTGAGAGTTGGATATCCAAGTATCTCTTGGCGCAAGAGAGGCTCTCAAAGGACTTTGCCAGTGACAACCAATCAAGGTTTTGGCGCATCCTGCCCCATGCCCGCGGCACTACGCTCGATACCCGTCCTCTACCTTGTCTTGGGTCCTTGGTCCCTTGGCCCTTTGCCCTTTGGTGTATTTACCTAGCCCTTCCTGAATCCGTACTATAGACAGTTACACTACGGAGACGGAGTAGGTATGGATACCTACCACTGACCAGAGATGGTTGACCAGGTTGGCGATGCTGACCACTTATTACTCGGCTTGGCTTGGGTGCGGGTTGTGGAGAGGATGTGTGGAGGAGGAGGAGGAGGAAGAGGGCTCCCGCGCCCATGTGCGTCCTGGTCCATGATCCATCCTCTGATCTTGGTCTTGTTTCTGTTCTTGTCTCTTGACACTTCTGGTCCTCCCTCCCTCGGCCTCCATCATCTCTCCCGAGTCCCAGAGCCATGAGTACCTAAGGAGTCCATAACAAGACTCGCTGAGACACACAGAAAAGCTCCCCTTACCCTTCAAATGTTCCCTTACCCCCTCTTCAGTCCACGTTCACGCCCCTCCCTTCCCTTGTCCGCAGAACCCGTTACCGTCTCCCCCCTCCTCTACAGCCCTGCATCTTAACCTTTGCACTCATCCCACTGGCCGACCCATCGATCCATCCGTCCATTCGAGATCCTCTCAGCTAGCTTACCGTGTAGCTTGAATCCAGCTTTGCTGCCCAGTCGGGAGAGTAAGTAAGTAAGTATCTCGGTAAAATTGAAGGCAGTGAATGAACAAAGGTAAGTAGTGCCCGCCAACAGTTTCCATTCCTGATGATTGTCGGCGTGTCGCCGCTGGCTTACAGGTTCTACATGGGAACATGCAAGAGACACTGCTGTAATGCCGCTGCATGACAGTAGAACAGCGAGGAAAGAGGAGAATGATATGGAGGAGGGGAAGACTCAAGAGCTTGCTGGCGCTGGCACTGCCACAATCCATCAGTTCCCTTCTGGTGCAAGTGCTCGACATGCCTCTTCTTTCACCGTTTCTCCAACAACACCATTCCCATCACCAGCAACACCACCCACCACGGGGGACCGGCCGAACAGGCACACAGCACAGGAGCTGACCGCCGCTGCAATGCAATGTGAGTTGTGAGGTGTGGAGAAAAGAGTGCTATGTCTCGGTTTGCTGCAAGCAGTTAGCGGTGCCCGCATCCGGGATGCCCACATCCAGAGAGCTGCGTCCTCTTTCGTCTCTGCTGCTGTCAAAGTGCCATCCATGATCGCAACATTCCAATGCGACACAGAGCTGTCCGTCTGTCGTTACACAAGAAGTTGGGGGAGCTAAGACGAGACGCATGCTGAATCCAGTCCTCACCCCCCAAATTTTGTCTGCTCAGGTTCAACATCCCGCGCCGCGTCATTTGCCCAATCGGAGAGTATTCAGGAGCCAGCTCCAGTCCAGCTCAAGCTAGCTATCCTTTGTTTTTCTCTCGTCATCTTCGTTGTGCGCCTTTTTCTGTTCACTCTGGGATGCGGATACCTGAGGGATTACGGATACTCATTTACTCTTCACGAACTCATCTTTGTGCGACTCCACAGCCCCGGAACCACCCTCCAAAAGCAACCCGGCCCTTTCGCCGGCGCCCATGCCGGTCTTCAATATTATATTTTCAAGAACTGTGAAGTCGGCATTTACCGACTTTTGGGGAAGTAATTTGGAGAAGCAGAGCCAATCTAACTTAGTGAGGTGTCCAAGGCGGCCGCCACACATTGCCGTTGCCGTTGCTGATCCCTCCAGCCCGTCTTTCCCATGATCCGTCGATGCTTGTACTTGCGCCATAACACAGTGAAGAAGCGGTGATGCCGCATCGTCAAACAAGCCCATCCCGCTTCTTCGGTATTCTATTAGTCTGCCGCTCGTCACATCGGCCTGGCTTGCCGCCTACCTACCATTTCATGTGCCGTCTCCTTTGTTGTTTAGTTCAGTATTTGCTTCTACTATTGTTCTTTCTACCAGAAGCAAGCCTCGGGCCGCGATTTGAAGAGCGAAACAGGCACGTACTGCGTACTTCACTGAATTGCATGTCTAGATGGCAAACCAGTCTGTACGTACTTACACTGCCACTCGCCTGCGATTTCCTCGCCTTCGTAAATCGACCAAGACGATGCTTGCTGCCTTTGCACCTCAGTCATTCAATGGAAGGCGAAAACGAGAGAGATCCAAAACGCCCGCCCAAGAGCATCCAAATGTGGCCTTTGCCCGGCGATCGACCACTCAATACAAATCACCGCTTGCTCTACTGTGTATGCGCCAGCGAGTGCCGACTCTAGGGCCTGGGGCTGTGCCCGTTCTTCACTGTAATAACTGCACTGGGCAGACAAAAAATCCTGTCGAGCCAAATCCAGGCCTGCCCCGTTGCTCTCTCACTCTACTGCCTAGGTGTGTATACAGGTCGGCGCCGAAACCCTGGAAAGAAGGGAAAAGAATTCAGCTACGGTGTACTGACTACTGCGTACGGAGCATGGAGGACTCATGTTGCACCCTCCCGGGCCGCGCTTAATTTTGGATGAAGTTCTGCGCTGTTAATTTGGCTTCGTTTGACGTTGACCACAATGAACGGCATATCCATTAGAGTCAGACTAGGAAACCCCCACAGTGAGGTGTAAGAGCGTGAGTGAGTGAGTGAGAGAAAAACCCGCTGGACTAAGGTAGTGTCGATCCCATCACGCGCGCCCCTCCAAAACAGGTCTTCACTGCAAGATAGTGCGTGTATGAAAACTTCAAAGCCGGTAGACCCAGTCCGTAGGCGGCCTCCAGCTTCTCAACCATGGCTCATCCCAGTTCTCTTCATCGTCGCCGCCTGCGCCCGTTGGTTTGACTGATGGAGGGTCTCCACGAGCCCAGCAGCGGCGGCACGAAGCACATGCCCCGGACACAAAATCCCTCTTACTAAACCCCCTTCAGCAACCAGCTACCGATCCCGGGGGCTCCTTTCTCCATTCTGTGCGTACTACTCAGTAGGGGATCCCCCATCAGAAATGCATAGAGCCCGGGCACCCAGAGGAAACAGCAGCAGGGCCTGGCAAGAGAACCCTGAGCAAGACCCTCGGCAGCTCGCGTGAGTGAATGAGGGGGGGACGGACCCGAGAGGACAGCACAAGAATCCTGGATGCCGATGCCCAGCAAACCCAGCCACGAGAATGAGCGATCAACAACACCCAAACCGGTCAAGACATGCGCCTACATACGCAGACATTCGGTGACAGATGTAGAACGCCGTACTAAAGCAGACATACATCAAGTACACTTACGTACTCACAGGCAGTGCTATATAACAAACCCCGAGGCGCAGCAGCTTCCACAGTAGAGAAGCTGGCTTAAGCCTGGCCATCTTTCTCTTTCTTTCTTGTTCTTAGTCAGTCCGGCCGCTGTTTTCTGCATCAGCAGCACCGTAATGGATCCCCGATTCCCCCCATCCAGTCATGGGCCTCCCCCCTCTCTTCCGGATGGAGAGAGGATATGGGGTAACAGGTACGGCACTGCACTGCATTTGACCACCACACACCGCAGAAACGCCCGCACGCACTCGCTCCGCTCCCAGTCTCTCCTTTGATGACTGGCCACTGATCACTCACTCACTGAAGACTGACTGGACTGGACTGGTACTGGTACTGGTGTATGATTTTTATTTATTTTTATTTTCAAAAATTTCTTTTGTTCCTGTTTCTGTCTGTGTGTGTCTCGGGGAGCTAACGGGGAGGCTACCGAAGACTCTGGTTCCGCGCCACGGGCCACAGCTCTTTACGTCTGGCCCGTCGGTCAATGCTCTCTTCTCTTGCTGCTTTGCTTTGTAGCAGGTAGTTAATACTTGAAATTAGACAGTTCATCAGTCAGTCAGTCGCATGGACATGGGCTCGAGTGAGGCGTAGCAACCATCATCCATTGACAATTCTCCAATATGGTCAGCTCGGCTCGCTCCAGACCGAATTGACCTACTTTACCTTACTTACAGCAGCTCTTTGAACCAAATAACCCAAGCTGAATCAAGCACAAGCACCGCGCACACGCACTCGCGCATACGCAACCTCGCCCTCTTCGCCATCGACTTTTCAACGCGAAAGAAGCAGCACGAAGCAGCATCCAAAAACTCAAATACAGGAAGAAAGACCACAGAATTCCCCTGCACTACACAGTTAGTCAGTCCTGTGGCGCTGCAACTTACTACAACACGCATCGCATGGCAGCCATTTATCCGATCCCCTCTCCCAGATGATTCCTGGGAACTGGTAGATGGCCTCGTGCACGACACCGACACCACACGCACACGCACAATACCCGGCCCACCCCCCATCATCCATCCTCCCGTCTCCCGTCCACCGTCTCCCGTCGTGTCTATCCGAAAATTCCCCATTACTTTTTGCCTTTCATCGCGTCCTTTTCGTTGATTCGGTTTCCGGCTTTTTTGGTCTCTCGTCGGTCGGCCCTCTCGAAATTCTCCCCATCTTCCTCTTTTTTTCTCCTCCTCTTGGCCCGCCTTCGCACAGCCGAATGACGTCGTTGGTCAAAGGGCCGACTCCGCTGCCGCTGCGAGCTGCGTGCTGCGCCTCACTCGACCTCGAACCCCGACTTTTCTGTGGTGCCTTTTTCGAGTAAATTTTCGCCCTCCACGACTCGACCAACTTCTTTTTGGCTGCCCTGCTGCAGGTGATACCTGGTAGTCAGTAGGTCAGTCAGGGTCACTGTACCTTTGTACTATACCTTTGTACTAGCAGCAGCCAGTCCTCCTTGACCGTCAAGACTCCTCCTGCGACTGCATCCCGTCTGCTTCCATTTGCTGCCCGCCGTTGCCACCCGACCCCGTCGAATTTCTGTCGATTAGTCCCGTTCCCTGCCCACCACCACTGCCCACTGCCCACCCCCTCTCTGTGCGACACTCTCACCCAAAGTGTCTGTTCGTCTCTCCAGTTGTGCGGTTGCGTTTGTATAGGCAAATTTCCCTTTTCTGCAGCAAACGTCAAAATCGCACAACACCACAACAGCAAACATGGTCGTCGGTTTGCTCAGCATCCCGCGGGAGATCCGCGACTTGATCCTCGGCGAATGCATCTTCCTTCCCGACCGCCAACCGCCGCCCAATCCCTCAGTCAGCCAGGACCGCAAGAGGCGCGAGTACAAGGGCAAAGGTTTTTTCGATGGCCACGACATTTGGGTTGAGAAGAAGGTTCGCTCCCCGCCCTCCGGCTCCCCCAACACCAACATCTTCCTCGTCAATCGACAGATACACGCCGAAGCCAAGGCGCTGCTCGCGACCAGGGGGACGCATTGCCGTCTCGATGTAATGTATGTCAAAGAATGTGGCTTGTGGCCGACTTGGCTCGCGGTGCCAAGAGCGACCCGCCATGCCGACAGCGTCCGAGTCCAATTTCGAATTTTCGACCCCCCCTCCGATGTCAATCCGGACTGGAAAAACGAGGAACAGTTTCGAGGCGGTAGCGGCGGTCCACCCTTCATCGTCTGGAATTTCTACGCCATGCTGTCTGGTTATCTGCAGTATGGCCCGACCGCCTTCAGTAGTATCGTCGCCGACCCAGCAAAATTCACCATCAAGAACCTCGTGCTCGACGTTCTGCCACCGCCGCCTGGCCAGAAGCATGATCGGCTCGTCTCCGGCGGTGCGCCGCGGCCGCCCGCCCATGACATGTTTGAAAGGTTCACCACCATGGTCATGGACGCGGAAAAGCGAGAGAGCCGAGGGATCACTTGGCCCCGTCCGCCGCAAGGCAAGGAGCATCTCATTCCGGCCGAGAAGCTGGCTTTCTTCATGTGCTGCCAGATTGGAGGTCTCCTGTCCATGTATCGTGATTGGGCCGACTTCGGCGCCGCCCTGTACGAAGGTATCGGGACCATCCAAATCCGCGTCAACGGCGAACTCAGACGCCATTTCGACCTGGACGAGATGCTCGCCAGGCTACCCATCCAGCCGATCGCGGCTTGGAACGAGAAGGAACAGCAAAAGAGACAGAAGCGCTTCGACGACTGGAAAGCCCAAGCGATAACGACAAGACAAGGTTGGAAGAAATGATGGAAAAAAGACAACTTGGAACGATGACATGAAATGCCTTTTCTTTTTGTTTTTCTTTTGCTTTGGCCGTACTGGCCACTAGAGGGGAGACTCCCTCTTTTGCATTGGGCAGCGATACCACCGGATAGAGGGCTTTCTTTTGGGAGGCGTCTTTTTTTTGCTTTGGAGCATGGTGCAAGGTGCATAGTGCATGGTACAACCAGGCCGGCGGTGGTCGACCTCGGAGGGCCGGGAGAGAAAAGTTCAGCACGGTGCCGAACGCCGAGGACGGAGCCGGAGTCGGAGGTGGAAGCCGGTCAAGAAATGTTGGTACTGTTTTTCTCTACCGAGATAGGCCTTCTACTGCAGTTCGGAGCCGAGCAATGTCAGCGTGGCTTGCCTTGCAGCATCCACCCACAACAATCTGTTTCCACAATCCTCGAGATTCGGCATTAGCGACCACGTGTGAGAGTTGGGCTTCCCATGAAGTGGTAGGGTGTTGTGATCCTTGGGGAAGCTCCCACTTTTGGGTTGTCGTGTTGTAGACTTCGCCGTTGGTGCCATCCGGGTAAAGAACAAGGGCCGGAGCGGCGTCGACGGCGCCCTCCTGGATGAGTTTCTTGACAGCGGATTCGTAGCTCTGAATGAGAGACTCCAACTTCCACACCTTGGTGCAGTTGATGCCTATACCCCAGGGATGGCTCGTCGCAACGTCACGGCTGAGCATAGCCGTCACAGCCTCCATGATGGAAGATCCATCCGGCAGCAGGCCGTCCTCTCTCGGGAAAAGCGTCGCAATCCAGAAAGGAATGGGGGACTCAGAGGCTAAGACTTTGGTCTTATCCAGGGCCTGCCTCACGGCCTTGATCTCATCTGTGCGCGGGATGGTCTCAATGGCGACATAGCTGACGGGGGGAGAAAAGGCACCGGCAGATTGCAACAGCTGGAGCCGCTCGGCATGCCAGTCACGGAGCTTCTCGAGAGTATCGTGGTCGGCGTCATAAGCGCCGCTGTACTCTTGGCCAGGGATCATGCAAGCTCCATAGGGACCGATGCTGAGAGCTGTCTTGCTTCCTTGGGAACGTCCCGCCTCATCGGCGATGCAAATGGCGTCCTGGATGAAGTTGCCAATGTTGGCTTTGTCGATACCGTTGGGAAACTGGGTAGTGCGGGTGTTGGCAAAGCCGTGGATGGATAACTGGTAGGTGGCAGTGAGGATGATGTCAACGGGTACATCTCCAAAGTCTTTCTGGCAGGCGAGCAGGGTGTCCTGACCATCGACGAGAAGATGGGTAGACCAGAGAGGCGTGGTAGCTGACTCGAACTTGATGCCATATTTGTCTTCCAAAGAAGTGCCGAGGCCACCATCGAGGATGAGGACCTTGGATTGCTGGGAAGAAGAAGAGGCAGCCATAGTTGGTGTAGGTGAAGTGAAGCGTGTAGAGCGTGTACTTCGTGGGTGTAGTTCCAGGAAGGGCGAAGTGCGCAAAACAAGGTTCGGACCGGAAAGGGAGATCTGACAGACAGATAGACAGACTACCTAATCTCAGGTAGAATAAGTTGAGATTAGGTTAAAGGTGAGACTGAATCCGGGGCCGGCGTGATCAAGACGAGAACGAGCACAAGAGAAAGAGAAAAAAGAGTCGAACGCGCGGCGGGACGTTGCAAGTCTTGTCGCTTGGAGGGGTGAGTGTGTGTCCGAGTAAGTCGGGAATGGGGGGGAAACAAGAAAGTCTTGGGTCTTGGGTCCTTGGGGCGAAAGCGAGTCGGGGACTCGTTGGTCTTGGGGGTCTTTGGGGCGGGAAGAGGAAAGGCGAGGCCAGCGGAGACGCGGGCAAGGCGCGGGTGGTGACTGGGACAATGGAGGAGGAGGAGGGTCCGAGGGGATCCACACCTGGAGAAAAATTTGGGAAAGCATTACGACGACTTCTGGCTGACTAACACACCTAATTCCAGCTGCCAAGAGCCGCCGGCAGCAACTTCCGTGTATTTTCAGTCGCCCTTACCTTTCCCGCCCTTTCTTCCTTTCGTGCCTCCCTCAATAATATCGAACCTTCCCTTGCTTCATCCAATGCCCCAAGAATCTCGTGATATGGTACGTCACTGCGGCTTTACGGCAAGAGCCCACGCACAACTTGAGAAGGTACGAAATACCCCTCTTGCTGCAAACTGTTCGCGAGGGAGGCAAAACATCGTGACTGGCAAGCGCGCCTGCCGAATGCCAAGACGGAATGGGACTTGCTCGGTTTAGCATACCCGTATCTCATACGTACTCCGTACTCCGTATTCCTCCCAACCAGACCAGGGCAGGTACCTTCCCTTCAATCTCGCTTCCAAATTCCGTCACAAACCGGATGACACCGCAAAACGGCCGTCCTCCAATTCAATCCAATCAGCATTCGCTCAATTCATTCAAAGGATGAGACGCTCAACATGAGATCACGTCCAACCCTAAGGCACATACGGATCCTGTCACTGACTTAAGGTTCCGTCATCCCATCTCATCCGCCCTCAGATTCTGGGGAAGATCTCACTTCAGATGCGCTAGAGTTCACTCCATGTAATTGATGCTGTCGGTTTAACTCATTCTTGCCCGATTCAAATTCCTTCATCCCACCGGCATATTTTGTCTCACAACCGCCCTTTGTGGATTAGACTTTCCATAGATTCTGTATCGACATGTCGATTCTCACGCTCAAGGCCATGTTTTGAGAATTTCTGTGTGATACCACGTCAACGTGCATTTGAATTACACCCACCACCACTGATATCAAGGTAGTCCTAAAGGTAGCAATTGAGGAGAATTGTCAGGCCAAGACCTTCCCCGCTTGATCAACCATCATTCTTTCATGATAAAACTCAACAAACGTACGAAACACATGAGAGCCCATTGATACTTCCCACTGCGTTCTTCTCACAACTCCAATAGGACTCGCAACCAGACTGGCCGGCGCAAGTTACAGTTTCCTAGCTCCCGCTCCTGTCCTGGCGGTTGGCAGGGGTCCTCCGAGCCCTCGCTAGCCGATTTCCGAGCGGAATGGGGCTGCTTTTTTGGGCTGATGCAACGTCATTTAACTTTAATTGGCGATGAACCTGAAGAACCCCGCCCTCGCCATCTTTCCCCGCAGGATGGCGATCTCATAGACAAGCTTTCTGGATCATGTATATCCGTACGAATACAGATAGGTAGTGGGGGGTATCGCGGAGGCTATTGTATCAAGACATTAATCAATCGGATAGGCGTTTTTTCCGAAGTTAAGAAACACTTCTAGAAAAGAGGGCTAGCGGTACATTTGCATTTCGGTCCCTGAGCTCGGTATCGATAACTGTCCCCACAAGCACATGTCCCAAGCTGCATGCATCCATCACGACACTAGTGTGGTGTTGAATGCTAACGACATCTTGGCTCCGTGGACTAAACCCGTGCTCAAGTCCCGGCACCCCGGAAGATGGGAAACACAGTTCAACGGACCTTGGCGGGCCCACGGTCAATTTACTCGGCGTCCGGCACTCTCCCGCCGAGCCGGAAGCTAATTGAAACGGAGCCTGTCAACGGAAGGGCGCGTTGGGCGTTGGTGGGGCAGGTTGACTTTTGACATCCATTGCTGACTTTGCTTTTCGCCTCTGACCCTAATGCAACTTTTTGGGCCATCATTTGGTTTTGTTTTAAGAAGAGCATGATCAGTCGGGAAGACCAGACTGTCAATTCTTCAAATTGGCCACAGGATAACTCAAGCGCCAATACTCGCCACCATGTCAACCACCACAACAACAGCAACGGCATCAGCCTCAGCCTCCACCTCGGGCACAGAACTTCATCCCCTCCCCGCCAATATATCCCAAAAGCCATCCCCCTTTACATCGGCATCCCAAAACGTCGACGATACTACCGACCCAATCCTCCAAGCCTCCCGCGAAGCAGACTCCACCGTCCCCGAAGGCGGCTACGGCTGGGTCGTGGTAGGCGGCTGCTTCGTCGTCGCTTGGTGGATCATCGGCACCTCGTACTCGTGGGGCGTCATCCAGGGCGCCCTCATCGAAGATGGCCTCGGCACCCCCGCCGTGCTCTCATTTGTCGGGTCCCTGGCCGCGGCGCTCATCTCGGCGCTCGCAATCGTCAACTCGCGCGTCATGAGGCGGATCGGGCCTAGGAAGACGGGATTACTCGGAATTTCGCTATTGGGGGTTAGTGAGTTGCTGAGTAGTTTTGCAGTCAAGAATGTGGGAGCCATGTTTGCTACGAGTGGTGTTATCATGGGGTTGGGAATGAGGTTAGTTCTCCGTTCGTCGAGCTTCTTTCTGAGTCTACATGCTAACGATGGATAAGTTTATGTTTCACGGTGAGCTGAGCTCCTCAAACTAGCCAAATGCTTCGAACTTTGTTACTGACGAGATCCTCCAGATCGTCTCTGTGGTCCCGGCACAGTATTTCAGCCGCAAGCGCGGCCTCGCCAATGGCATCGTCTTTGCCGGCGGTGGTCTCGGCGGCGCGGTAAACAGCTTTGCCCTCGACGCCCTTCTCAACCACCTGGGTTCTGCGTGGGCCTACCGCGTCCTCGCCCTCGTCACCTTGGCCACGGGACTCCCGGCAGCATGGCTCATTAAAGAGCGCGTTCCCGTTCGTAACACTGGTTTCGTTGAGTGGTAAGAAACCCCCTTTTCCCATTCTCGCCATGTTCTCCAAGACGTAGCCTACATCAGCGACTGACACATAAATGCAGGCGCCTCTTCAAGTCCCTCACCTTCGTCCTAGTCTTCCTAGCCGGCGCAGTCGGGACCTTCCCCCTCTTCGTCCCGCCCTTCTTCCTCCCGCTCTACTCCAAATCCATCGGCCTCTCCTCCTCCACGGGCGCCGGCCTGGTAGCAGGGTTCAATTTCTCTTCCGCCATCGGCCGTATCTGCTGCGGTGCCTTTTGCGACGCCTTTGGCGCGCTCAACGTGCTCTTCGTCTCGCTGTTCCTCTCCGCAGTCAGTATCCTGGCCATCTGGCCCGTCTCGACGTCGCTCGGGCCCATGGTTGCCTTTGTCATCATCAACGGTGTCTCGAACGGTGGGTTCTTCTCGACTATGCCTACGGTCGTTGGGAACACGTTTGGATCTGCGAGGGTCTCTGTCGCTATGAGCATGATTGTGACTGGATGGGCTGGTGGCTATCTCATGGTGAGTTCCACGATCTCAATACTGAATTATCTTCGAAAAGTACGGTGTACTGATAATGTCGACGTAGGGCTCGCCGATTGCCGGATATCTTTTGGAAGCCTACGGCGGTGCCGAGGGAGGTCTTCAAGCGTACCGTCCAGCCATGTTCTACGCTGGCTCGCTGTCATTGGCAGCGGCTGGGCTTGTCGCCATGGTCAGGTTCCGCATCAACAGCAGCATCTTGGCAAAGATTTGAGAGTGATGTGAATGGCCATGTAGCTACTGCATGGCACTCTGTATCAATATTGGGGGAACTCGATGAAAAAGAGATTTCCAGGTTAACGGCGACCTGTATTCAGGACAGACATTGTCCGAAGTCTCAGCCGGATGAACGGTACTCACATGTACCGTAGACCGGCCGGCCGGCGAGTGATGCAAAGGAGCGGTGAATGTGACATCAGCCCCTGAGAGTCTCGTATTCGTCGGACCCTTGATTCACATAAAGACACCAAATTCGCAGTAGGCACCCGTGAAAACTTTCTGGTCTCTCTTCATCTCGTTATTCGTTCAAACTTATCTCCCCCCCGCACGATCCACCATGCAGGGAAGCAAGAAACATCCGCCCGGCGCAGCTGCTGCCTACGCGGCCCCACTTGGTGCCTTCAGCCCGCCGATAGCTCCGGGCGGGGACCTCCCGTGTCAAGGTATCTATCTACCTTTATCTCAGAACAGCTTCCCAAAGTCCATCCTGCACAGGCAACATTGCTGACAGACATGATCTGAAAGTTCAATGATAGTCAACACTCTCACACGCCTTACCCAAGAAACAACTACCGTAGTTACTTGGCATTAACAGCCCCCATCTGAGTCAGACCGGCACGGCTCTGGTGTAACTCCTGTGCTTCTCTAGACCCGACCGCTGCTTGCGGTGATGGCTGGCCCCCGATTCCCCCTCCTTGCACGTGTACTCGCGCCTCCTTCGCGCCGCCATTCCAAGACGGAACTTTCCAATACCCGTGAACTAGTCCACGCGATAACGTGTAGACCAGGAAGCCATTGTCTACAAAATACCCCGCCAACCTCCCCTCCCCTCATCCTCCTCTTCTCCACTATCACCAGCTTCAATATCCAATCTTAACATACAAATCCGACAATATTGTCTCTGCATCACCTTAAAACACACATCCCGTACTTGCCCATCACATTCCAAGATGTCCATCGACCACATCGGCCTCTACGTCCCCGCCTCAATCTACAAGGAGACGGTAGACTGGTACCTCGCCGCCCTGGCCCCCATCGGCTTCAAAAAGTTCATCGAGCCGAACGAGTACGCTTGCGGCCTCGGCGTCCAGCGCCCCGATTTCTGGATCGCGTGTCACCAGGTCGACAAGGCGAATATCCCGCTCCACATTGGCTTTAAGGCGGATAGTAAGTACTTCACCATGAGGGGGGGGGGGGCTTTGGCTTTGGCGAAAGGTAGCTAATGAGATACTTATGTTAAATAGACCGGAAAGTGATTGACGAGTTCCACAAGGCTGCTCTTGCGGCGGGAGGAAAAGATAATGGGGCGCCTGGGTTGCGGCCGCAGTATCATCCCAACTACTACGGCGCGTTTGTGATTGATCCGTCTGGGAATAATGTCGAGGTTGTCTGCCACATGCCGGAAGTGACGGAGTAGACGAAGGAAGAGGGGACATGGCGTTCGGGTTCATGCTGGGCAATGGTGTTAGAGGATCAGTGGCTTTGGGTTTCAAGATCTTTTACCTCTTCCAGTTGAGCGAGTTTCGGGAAAGGTCCATTTCGGCAGGGCCAGGTTGATGCCTATGGTTCATAACCTCTCTTTCTTCCTAGGGAATGCCCTCAACGGAGCTACATATCTCTTACCGCGCTCCGTTACATTCTGGTCTTGAGTCAATTAAGTTGTCTACCTCAAAAATATAAGTTGTGACATTCTCTTGGACATCCTGCATGAAGCACTGCAATTTTAACCGCTCTAGAGGCTACATCTCCTACCAGCAGAGAGCCAAGGGGCAAAGGAACTTGTGATAAATTGAAACCTCAGCTCCAGCCGCACTTATAGATCCAGCGACTAAAATATTTCTCAAGCACTAGATTACCGAGGTGCTTCTTGCCTTACACAAAACAGCTTCACGTTCAAGATCGACAATTGCAGACTCGCAACTCAGTAACACCTCCTTTGCCCAGACTCGTGAAGCTTGCCGCAAACAATAGTGCTGAACACAACGCAGAATCGAAACGGGACGTGTCAATGTGAACATGGTGAGTTGGTCTCACTATTTGCGCAGCGGGCCCTGTACGAAATCGGCGCGGGCGTTCCAGCACCTAGGAGGAGGCCGCAGATGACTTAGCACTGCGATTTTAGCCCCCTTCATGCTATATCTTTCTTCACTGCCAAGTTTCACTGCATTCTTAACTCAGCCCATCTGGACATGCCCTCGCCCAACCTGCCCGGCCTTGTTCAGTCGGCCTCTTATCTCCTTGCTGTGGCACAAACGCTTCGGTATCACACGGCGCAGACAATACACTCAGTCCACTAGAAGCATGGTGATTCAGTGTATGATGCCCACGATTTGAAGCCAGAGCTTTGTAGTGAGCTCCCGGCACATCTTCAGGTATGGGATCTTCATGGGGGCCTGATGATAACTGTGGTTGAGAGATGAGGCTGCCATTTGTTGACTTCATACCCCTTCCTATCACGGACCTCTGGCAAGAGTCAGTCACCTCCACTGTCACATGCTCATTGCGATTCAAGACTGCAATCTGGCCGGCTTCCAATTCAATTTCTCGTACTCTGGACATTTCATTATGCTCGCCATCTATGTCAGTCTCGGAACACCAAACGCCTTGTCCCAAGTATGCCCGCGCAAAGTCTAGAACGTAACGTAGCGTGTAGTGTAGCCTAGTCCAACCCCTACCCGTCCATCAAAGGATTCGTCTCTTCCGTCTTTCGTCTGTCTGGTTGCCCATGTACAGCTCGCGCGCGAAATCCACCACTCGTAATAAGATCAACGTATGAAGTCGCCTTCACATGCGCTCCACCAGAAGTTGTAACAGAATACCGCCCGCGAAAACTCCATCACAGACCCGTTCTATTCGGGTATTTCAAGGAAAAAGCTGATCCATTCTCCTTCGTCGTCGGTCCAATGGTCGTTCGACGTCGTACCAAACACGCCCTGCATCGAAACGGTGTATGCCGTTCGCCTCAGAATTGTAATCTGCTCCGAGCCTCTGGTGCCCGATTCGATGAGTAGATGTCCAACATCCCTCCCGAGCTTCGAGGTGCCAATGAGCCAAACGTATAAAAGTCGATTCTACTAAAATGCGATGCTAGTATTAAAGGTACCAGCAAGCAATAGTAGACCACTTTAACCCCAATCTCGCGTAGTTAAGGGTATCAATCTCATAGTATTGCAATATTGCAAATCTGCTTAGGAATCACCACCGGTCACAGCAGCAGGCCGTGATCGCTGTGCGACCACCTCCCGCGCGTAGAACTCGACCAGCATGGTCGCGTACGCCTCGAGATCCTCGACGGGAACCGCCAGGCGGAAATCGTTCAATAGTAGGAACTGAAGCTCGAGATGGTTGAGTTCGGCTAACGGAAGACCACCGACCTAAGAAATGAGGATCAGCACTGGGCAAGACAAACCGGTCAACTTCGACGAGTTACATACCTTGGCGTATCTGGAGTTGGTGTAGAAGACGTCCGAGAAGAACTTGCTCGCGCAAGTCACGCCCGCAATGACCAGTCTATGGATATTGAAGCTGTCGACGACAAAGTACGTAGCCGGGGGTGCGCCAGGAGGTGTCGGCTGAGGCACAATGCTACCGGTACTCTCGCTAGCCTTGGTGTTCTGTTCGTCCGCATCGTCGTCATCGGCGAGATCCGAGTCGGTTTCGTCGTCTTCGTCACGCATTTCGACGTCGGCCGGCTGTGCCCTTGGAGTTGGCGCCGAAGTGGACACCCTCCGCGCCTCCTCGTGCTTGACCACCATTTCATTGACTCGCTCCGTCATGCGGTCAAAGTAGACTAGCAAACTCAAAAAGACCTCGTAGGTGGTCGGGCAGTATTTGTGAATGCGGGACAAGTAGCTCAGAATTGTTATGGCCGGGATGTTCTTGCCATGGAAAGCAAGCACGGACGTGCTCAACGGGCTCATTTGCGAGCCGTTGCCTGACTCGTTGTTCTGGCTCGCCTGCTGCTGATGCGCGACGTTGCGCTGCATGGCATCATGCTGCAAGTCGTTGGTGGTGGTGATCTTGGTAAGAAGAGCAGCAACCATTTCAATGATGTCGCCGATGGGCATGGCACTGATCTCGTACTTCATCGCCTGCAGTGGCGGATCGTTCAGTATCCCCGGCCCATTACCCGACAGTAGGTCGGCCTTAGCGAGACTCTGGATATGGGCTAGGTCGCGAATGTGAATTGTCTGGCCTTGCGGTTGCTGTACGGGAGATGAGGTATCGGAGAGAGGGTATGAGTTTGTGGCGCCGGCAACACCATTTCCATCGGACGCAGGTGAAGGTTGCTGTTGTTGCGGCTCCTGGCCAGGGGCATGGTGAGCCTGTTCGGAGGCAACTACGGAACCAGCATGGCCGGCGTCGCGAGAATCGGTTGCCATGTATGCGGGGCTGTCAGCATGCTGGGGCCTGGCACCTGTTGGCGACGAAGATGATGGAGGCGAGGGGAAGCGAGATGCACCTGCGCTAGGGGGCGCGGGCTTCTCGGCCGAGTCCTGTTCGGGGCGCTTTTGACGCGTAGGCGGGGTACTCGTAGAATGTTGGTATCTCGGGCTCGCGGGCGTGTGGTGGGTAGGGACGTCTCTTGACCGACTCGAGGATCGGTAATGGGAATCGTGCGAGTGTTGGTGTTGGATGCCCGGGTTGGCAATCATGTTATGAAAACGGGGGGGATCAGAGACGTAGTCACCGATTACAGCTGCCATAGCATCGTATTATTCCAGCAAGACTGAATTAGAATTAGGATGGTTGGAACTGGCAACTGCAGGAACGATATGTCAGCAACAAGTCCAAGTTACATTTTGTGGTTTGCGTGGAGAGGAGACGAAAGTAGTATTGGGGCAGCAACGGTTGCCGCGTGATGACATTGGCGCCCAAGATTCCCGCCCGAGAGAACGAATGCCGAACAAGGCCGATGCTTCGAACCTCACCCTGACTTGAGAGCTTGTGCGAGGGCAGCGACGTGAGGCGAGGGCCATGATCGTGAGGAAGGAGAAGGAGAGTGCATTTGGGCAGCGGATGTTGGGCAAGCAAGGCTGAAGTTTGGCACATGCAAATCAGGGCATAGGAAGGGCTAGCCGATGGCAAACGAACGGCCATAATCCACCAGCAGGGGAACGACGACGTAGACAAGCATGCCGAGAACACAGCCCAACGTCTTGATTGTAACGGCAGCAGCCTTGGGTGTAGAGCTGATGGCAGGCTTGTACATCGCGCGCAGGCACGAACGACGTCACAGGTGCGCATCTGGTTGCCAGGACGGGTCAAGTGAAGAGCGACATGGGTTGTAGGGGAAGGCAGGAAGGTGGATAATCGTGGAGGCACGAGGCGAGACAGAATGAACTCACCTAAGTCGTCCAACGAAGAGGCGGAAGGGCCTGTCGACAGGCGATGGGTCTAGATACTAAGTATTGGGGTAGAGAGGCGGGAGGGTCGACGCGATGAAGAGGCAACGGTGTATTGGTGCTGCGGTCGCAGGAAGTGTTCGTCGGAGATAGCAACGAGCAACGAGGTGTCGAGTGCGAAGGGAGACCGTAAGGCAAGTTCTAGTCGGATCGGATCGACGGGCAGAAGGTTCACAACAAGACGCGTTAGGCCTGACAGAGAAGGTTGGGTGATGTCGAAGGAGGCGGCGATGGCGACCTTTTGGCGGAGTAGAAGTATTGAGGCGGAGGAGGGGAAGGAGGAAGGCGGTCAGAGGTCTCGTCCGACGGGGCGACTCGAGAATCTGTTTCTGTTCTGTTTCGCAGAGCGTCTGCGATGTCGAGTACCAAGAAACAATCAAGGTACCGGTAGAGGGGGGCGGCGAGATCAAAGGAAGAGGAAGTCGTCGAAAGAAGCCCCCCTTGTTGAATAAACGTCCAGTCTAGAGGAAGGACGAGACAAGGCCAGAACAGAAAAGCAGACTGGGGGGGAGGAAGGAGGAAGAGAGAAAAAGAGTCGGAGGAGAGCGGGTTGGATGGGAGTGTGTGGATGGATGGTGGATGAAGGATGAATTGGGGGAGAAGCTGGCGCGGGTTGGCAGAATGGGCGATGGGGGGGAAGAATGGGAAAAGAAGGACGGCGGGAGGATTGGGCGCGACGGCGGCGGCGGTGGGTGGCAGGCGACAGGCAGGTGGAGGGGGAAACTGGGTGAAAAGGCAGGAAACAGCGCTCAAGGCTCAGGCAGCGGGACCTTAGAGGGATGATAGAGGGGGCAGCGGGCTGGTGGAGAGAGCGCTGGAGACGCAGTGGCCGATGGACTGGGCCTGGAACTCGGGCTACTTGGTAGAGTGGATGCTGTTGTTGCTTAGAATGGGTGCCTTGCTTCACCTAAGATAGTTGGATACGAGTGTAGATGATGATATCAGGTCAAGAACGTGCGTTGTTCGTGTGGTGTGTGTGTGTGTGTGTGTGTGTGTTTACTCTGTACTCGAGATGTATGAGACGGGAAACAGTTCTCTTACTTGAGGTGACCTGATGAAAGGACACTCAGGGCGAAGAAGTGAGTGAGATGTTCAGAGGGGACCCTGGATGAGATTGGCGGTCTGGTGGAGACGGATGAGGTAGATGGCAAAAAGATGGCCGCCAAAAGGCTCAGCTGGGTAAAGTCGATTCATGGATGAGTGGATGAGAAAGCATTGAGAGGACCTTACCACCTATTGATGTGCAGCAGCTCCCCGAATGACGGCACACTGCACAGATGCATCACTCCTCACTCCAGACTGCAGACTGTTACTCCCCAGACTCCAAACCGTTTGTCGCTCGTCACTCACGGTGGCTGACGGGTTCAACCTTTTGTGCCGTGCAGCGAAATGCTCCATTTTCATTACAGCGCAGCTGGCAGCATGCACGCTCAGTCGCGATGCCACGGCCGTGGTTCCCCGCGTGTCTTGGATCCGCGCGTGAGTTGTCGTTCACAGGCATGTGAGCTTCACTCTGAGATTCACTCCAAGTCTCAGTGAGAATCGAGTGAGCAGTGAGTGATTCTCAGCCAAACCCAAGTCTCATCTCTCTACACTCATCAACTCTTCAGTCTTTCACCAAAATCTCTAGCAGGTCTACCTGTACAGCTAGTAACCATCATGGATCTCATCTTGACTGAATGTCTCACTGCATCTCGTGTGGCGGCATGGCAAAAAAAGATGAGGAGCCACCCGAAACATGACATGACAGAAGCCCGCGCTAGCCACCAACGCCCATGAGCAAGCAAAGCACCGCAAGGCAAAGGTAGCAGCCACTCACAGCTCCCGCAACAGCAACACCCGTCACCCGTGGGCCAAGAAATCCAAGGGTCCTCCGTGCCTCCCAGGTTGTGCCAGGCTACCCCCCGAATCTGGATTTCTGCTCGTGCCATCGTTGCAAGTCGGAAAGTCCCAGTTCCTAGTCGGCGGGCCCAACCGAACCAAGCACAGCCTCATTGCGATCCTGCTCGCTCTCATCTCTCTCTTCCTGTTTCTCTCTCTCTCTCGTCCCTCGCGCCGAGGTCCTGGGGGCTGGAGCTTCACCTCGACATGGACCTAAATTGCGCTCCTCTCCAACCGCAACCTCACGAGCCCCGGTCCTTGCTTTTCCCGAGCTCCCAGCTTGGGGAGTATGAAGGCTCCAACATTTCCCGATGGGATGGATGGCTGCCCAACGAATATAGCATACTTCCTCCAGCATCTCTCTCTCTCTCTCTCTCTGCCTTGTGCCTGAGACCTTGAAAGGCTTGGATGCTTCCTCAGCCTGCGACCGTGCTACCACTTCGCCTCAATAGAGACTGACCTGACAGCTCGCACTCGCAGCACATTCAAGCAAGTTGGCAACAGCCTCGAGTCGGAGCATCTGCATAGAAAAACGCAAAATGAAAAGAAATAATAGAGAGAGCGCTTGCAAAAGACGGGGGACCACTGGAACTGACACGCGGCGGAAAGACAGACGACCCATCCGCATCGTCGGGAGGAGAGGGTGTGCCTATGCCGTCCTCTCATTGGTCCCTCTGATACGCGATGCCGCTGATAAGAGATTTGGCGAGCAGGGGCCACTTGAAGCCCGGCAGGGGAACCTGGAACCTCGACTTTTCGACACTTCCGCCCCCCTGGCACGTTCTTCGGTTCTGATGTCTTATCGGATAAGATAAGGTACGTATCTCCCTCTCCTCCTGCCCTCCTACCTTACCCCTTCTCTCCGCCCGCCAGCCCTGCCACCTCCCTTTCTGACCTGACGCCCTGAACACCCAATGGAACCAGTCGAGCAGCAATACCCAGGATACCTGGGTACGGAGCATTCTCATCGTAATTCCAATCGCCAATTGCCTGCCGTAATACGACACGCTGGACCCGAGATGCCTTCCTGCTCCACCAAAATAACTGCAGCATGCAACTTTGGCCATGGCACAAAATGGATCTCGGAGGAAACATCGACAAGCTTCTCCCATCTTACGTACTGCGAATTCGCAAACACCGCGCTGGGCCCCCTTCTGGTATCCTGGATTTCTATTCCAGTATCCCCCGCCCAAGTCCCGGCCGGATCTGGACCTCACTTCCGTCCAAATCAAGCAACATCGTCGTTGTTGACTCCATAGTCGCATAGCCAGCCACGCTCTCCCCATTATTTCCCCTTTTTTACGGAGTATCGCACTGCTCAAAAAGAAAGCTGTCCTGAGTTCTGACAACAGACACGGAGGCCACGGCGACTTGAACGACCGGTCACTCAGGCGCTCAGAAAATACAAACAGACCGTCTGTCGATCCCGGCCGCCCGTCAGGTACCCGCCGGGCCCGTCCAGCGCGAGAGACCTGTCAACACCAGCTGAATGTTGACTAACAGCACATGAGACGATCAAAGGCCTGCCGGGTCGTTGCATTTGAGCCAAAGGGTTATCTGCTGCTTACGCCTCACCGCTAGCAATTACAAACACATCCCCTACATCAAGTGTACCTTAATCAACGGCACGGCCAAACATTGCCAACGCGCCCAAAAGGGGGCAATACAAAAACAAGCTTTCATCATCATCCATCCCACGCCCAGCTGCTCCCCAGCAGTAGCACCACCACGACCAAACCCCTTGTAGTATGTTGGCTGGCCGGGCCCCCCTTTCCCCCTTCCAAGACGCCTTGACTCCCCCCCCCCCCGGGGTCTGCACGGATGGTGACTCCCGGCCAATACCCGGCGTTCCCTCCGGCACGAGGTCTTGGGATCTTGGGGGTTGTTTCTAAGAAATTCCCCTATCTAATCAACCGTACTCCGTACCTATGAATACAACACACACACACACACACACACACACACACATAATGAGGCCTTCACCGCAATACCGCCCCGGCCCCCCAGGTACGTAGTATCCAAATGATCACTCTAGATGGAGCCAGGGCATATCGCGCAATCGCCAGATATCACAGCCCATCGTGGCACACCCGCAGCCCGCAGCCCGACAGCCCCGTCCCACGTTCTTATCCACCGCCCTTCCATGACCTTTTCTAAATCGTCACTGACGGCCAACGACCTGCTATCACCCTTCCGTCATCATTCTCCAACTTAGTCATGCACTTGACTTGCAAGTTGGAAGACTTTGCTTCGTGTCGACGGAGTACTGTGCAGCCGATGTTCACTCTTAAATGTCAAGAGTCCCAAGAGCCATACTCAGCTCCTACCTAACGTAGGCATCTTGGGCAACCAACACACCCCATGGTGCCTCGGGTAGACAAACTCATCTTTAACCTCACCTACAGGTTAAGCTTAGCCACACAACGCCGTCACATCGCAAATCCTCCAACGAGAAGTCAAAGGCACCTCCCGCCCCGTCCTCCCCGCACCCGCCGCTGATTTGTTCCCGCTCCTCACCTCACCTCACCCATCCCGCAGAGCCGAGCAGCGCTAAATACCTTTGCTCATCCCTCACCGCCTCCGAATCCGAGGCCTCGACAGTCACAGTGACACTCTGACACCCCTTATTTTTAATCTAGCATGTATCTGTAGAGTGACTGTGCCGTCCTCCCTGCATCGTGCATACGGATGGCAGCGTTCGCGTGCCGGCAGCGTCTCTCTCTCTCTCCCAGGCACTCTCTGCCAGTAGCTGTACGGATAACACCCCAGATTTTTATTTCGCCTGTTCGTCGTGGCGTTGCAGCGCATCGCACGCAATCGCATCTTATCGTCCAAACCACGCGAGCTACCCGTACCTTATCACAATCTTTCGGGGTGTCACATTATCACAGTGCATGGAATACCCCTCGGGCCTCTTGTGAAGAAATCTCGTCTTGCGGGTAATCTATTTATTGTACATTCATCGTTTGTCACCAAGCCAAAAATCTCGCCTCGGCATGGACGTTCTTCGCTCCATCTTGAAGCCCGGGGAGGCGCCTTCGTAACCACACGGCGGAATGACCCGTGCCGTCTTGGTGCCCATCATGCGCGGCCGGTGTCGATGAGAGCGATCAGATGGCTTTCCTCCAGCCACATCACAATAAACGTCTCCCTTTCTCTGTCTCTGCCTCTTCCTCTAGCTCTCCCAAGCTCAACCTCCCAACTAGTGCTGCACCTTGTAGTCCTCGTCGGGGAGGTACAGATGCCGCACGGCGCCCTTGGCGGTCAGGACGACCATGCGAATCACACCACCGGAGCTGCCATCCCACTTAATGGCCTCCTTGAGCGATCCCTTGACAAAGTCGACGGCCTCCTTCTCCTCCATGCCCTCCTTCCAGTGCTCGTCACAGTATCCGTAAATGTACGTCGAACCCGAGCCGCCGATGGCATATGCCTGCTTGTGTAGGGATCCGCCGAGGGGGATGGAGTAGACCTGGCCGCCGTGTCGCTCGTCCCAGCCGGCAATGATGAGACCGGCGCTGTGATTCGTTTCGAATTAGTTATAATCCAGATGTTGCGGCCCTACGTCTCATGGTCGCGTGGAGACAATTCCGCGAGAGCAGAAGGCAAGGAGACTTACGTCAAGCGGTCCTTGTTGGCGTAGCAGACCTCCTGGAAGATGGCGGCGGCGGTCTGGGTCATGGGGGGTTTTCCGTTACGCATGGCGTACAGGCCGAGCTGGTACTGGACAATGTCGGCAACGGCCTGGGTGTCGGCGGCGGAGCCTGACCGGCAGCACCAGATGGTGTCGTGGACTTGTGTGAGCTTGTCGGTGACTCGGTTGGCAATGTAGGCGCCCGTCGTTGTTCTGGAATCAGCGCCTGGATGGAGTGGCTCGTCGTTAGCTGTACGGTCCTCATTTCGTCCCTGTTTGTCTGCCCCTCCAAAGTATGCAGAGTCTACTACGGCCGCTGTGGGCGAATGTATGCGGGCGAGAAAATATGTGTGTGGATTTGACGTACCGAGAATAACACCGTCCTTGAAGGTGACTGCCATACTATCGCGAGGTGTCAGGTGTATGCGGGACGGGAGGGGCGATCGGAGGGGTAGCTTACATGGAGGTTCCGAGGCTATGACATAGGTTAACTGTGGTTCTGTGGGAAGCCGAAGGTGTAGCATCATCACTCACTTGACCTCTCCCTTCTTTAATCTCTCCATGTCGATGTGAATGCCATCTGTCCGCCCGCAATCGTCAGCTTCATAGTTCCGTTCTGGGGTGTTTTGGTCCCGCAATAGCATCATCCAAGCTTCTGCCCGCCCGTACCTTCGTTCAGCTGTCCGGTGGTGGTGAACTCCATTTTGATAAGTTGTGTGTGGTGCGTACTTCGTAACTTCGTTTGTGGATTCGGTTCGTGGAGAATTGGAGGTCGGAGGGAGGGGGGAGGATTCGGCGTAGATATCGAAGGGGGATGGATTGGTTTGATGTGTCGTCGGTGGAAGGCTGAATGGAGCTTGACGAAGCTCAGGCAGCTCCAGAACGCGTTGGCCTTGCCCGCCCGGGACGCTTGGAGGCATCACGTGACTGATGACATAATCCAGTTTCTGGTGACACCCGCAACGATGCCACGAGCATCTGAAGACATTGAACTGACTTCAATCAATTCTTCACATTTATTTGTCTGATGCGCAAAGTCATATACTTATACAGGAGATATTTTGCATGGTTCATGCAGTGAGGTCACAGTACCACCTTTTCAATAGCTCTTCAACACCATTCTCAGTGGCCCCACGTGAGGACGATAGCTTCTGAGATGGAGATGCTGCCGCGAACCATAGATACTAACATGTGAAATCCAACCCCAATATAGACGAATTCTGTTTCAACACTGATCAAAGCAAATGTGTCCAAACGTTCGAGTTCAATATGTTCCGCTGGATCCGGTGGTCATCCACAACGCCGGCCCAGGAAATGCATCTTTGTACAGGTATTCTTGCAGATATGATACAACACTCACGCGCCTTGGATATCCAAAACATGACAATCAATCAACGCCTTAACCGCCCTTGGTCAGACTGTCAAAATGTCAAAATGTTAGCAAATAAAGCCCAGTCGCAGTCGTAAGATTCTGCCACAAGCAATGCAACTCACCCATCCTTGGCCAGCTCAGCGCTGGGCTTATCACCACCGCCCTCCGTCTTCTTCTTATCCTCATCACCGCACCCGCAGTCGTAAAAGTCGCCAATCTTGTTACAGTCAAACAATTCCTTCTTCAACCGGGTGTTGACCTCGTTGTGTACGAAGCAGGCCCAGCCTGCGGCTGCGTTGCGGCTACTCGTCTGGGGCGGGTACTTTGCCAGCAGCTTGCGGAAGTGGGAGGCGCAGTCGCCGCAGGGGTAGAGGCGGGCAAAGAGCTGGATGTACGTCTTGAGAGCGAGGCTGTCGTCGGGGGTGGGCTTCTCGGGGAAGCGGGCCATCATGGTGTGGAAGAGCTTCCACGAGGCGCGGCCGAGCTCGGCTCTACAAGTGAAGAGGTAGGTGTCAGCATAACCTTGAGGTCCAAGAAGGTTGACCCGAGGGGACGGCCCCGGAAGGTGGGTATTCTGCGCATGCAAGAGGGCGGGAGGCTTACTTTGCCGTCGCATTCTCCAACTTGGGCGCAATGGATTCGCCGGACAGGATGCTGCTCGAGATGTGGCCAAGATCGGGGGTGTCGCCGCTCGAAGACACGGAATCGCCCTTGAGAGGTACGGCGGCGGCCGGCGGCGCGGGTGATGAGGGTTCGCTGGTGCCGCTCGAGAAGAGGTAGGAGACGCTGAAGAAGGCGACGACGGCCAGGAGGACCATGAGCGTTAGGTGTTGTCTCCGCGCCATGGTGGGCGATTGGCTGTCGCTTGACTCTTTGGAGGCGAGTTTACGAAAGTCAGGATACGCACAGAGGTAGGTAGTAAGGTACTCCGTTGAAGATGTATGTGGTGAGGGAAGGACTGAAGAGAAGACAGAATCTCCCGCAAAAAAGAGGATGCGAAACCTCGGACGGAAATCGCGTTGTGGCAGCTTTTTGGTTAGGCTATCTGAGCTTACCAGGGACAGGAAGAAACCCTCCCAGGATAATCACCGACGAGGAGGGGAGACTCGGCGAGGGACGACAGATTCGACCAGGGGGGGTGTTCATCTTTCAGACTTTCAAGAAGCTAAGGGGACATTTGGTCGGCCCACGGCGCAGGGGTCGTCAGACGAGGCTATTTTGCTGCCGCCAATCCCGTCGCCGCAGTTTGGGCGTAGTGCCACCTGTCGCATGGCCCCTGGCGCAGTCCGCCGCCGTGGTGAGATTTCATAGCACATGGATTGCCCCCAAATGCTCCAAATGGCCCCAAAATCCCATCTGTCAGAGCCCCCAGAGGCGTCTCCTCAGGTTCAGGTTCCCCTCCAGCTCGCTCCAAGTTTTGCTTATCTAATGCCACCAACGTTAGGGGTCATGGTCGCTGTCGGTCGCTGGTTGTATCGGCCCAGCCCTGTGGGATCCCTGGCCCGTGCAGCGTGCTACCCCTTAACTTTGATTCGGGCCCACTCCACTCCCCTAACGACGGGCAGCGGCCAGGGGTGCCTGCGACCTTCCCGTCCGCCGTCCCCAGCTTGCGTCTACGTAGTACCTACAGCTGCGATTGCATGTTCAAGGTGACAAAATCCACCCAATTTAGCCTCATGAAAATGCAACTAAGGTATTCAGTGACCACAGCATTCGCTCCACCTGGTATTCCCCGGATGACTCATTTTCTCAGCCTCACATCTAGATATCTCATGATAAATACAATAGCAACCTCACTTTACCGTTGATTTCATACCAACATACCTCCATCTTTCCGAGTCTCCATTGTGACCACAAATCCCAGCATCGCAGCCCGCGACATTGTCCAGCAACCTGCTTTACCTTCTTCCATATCACAGCACCAACCACCACAGCAAACATGGCATCATCTATCTCAATCATCGTCGCCTCCAAAAACCCAGTCAAAGTCCAAGCAGCAAAACTCGGCTTCGAATCAGCTCTCCCAGACGCAACCTACACCGTCCGCGGCATCAGCGTCCCCTCGGGCGTCCCAGACCAGCCCCTCTCCGACGAAGAGACCCTCCGCGGGGCCCTGAACCGCGCCCGCAACGCTCAGGAAGTCGAGAAGGACGCAGACTACTGGATCGGCCTCGAGGGCGGCATCGACATGCCGGCCGACCAAAGTGCCCCCATCATGAACTTTGCCTGGATCGTCGTCATCAGCCGCGACGGACGCGTGGGCAAGGCAAGGACCGGCGCGTATTACCTCCCCGAGGAGAGTGCTGCGTTACTTCGCCAGGGCATGGAGTTGGGGCATGCGGATGATTTGATCTTTGGCCAGACGAATAACAAGCAGAGCAAGGGGTCTGTTGGCATGTTGACGGATGGTGTCATTGATCGGACGTCGTACTATCACCATGCTGTCATTCTAGCCCTGATTCCCTTTAAGAATAAGACCCTGACGTTTGTCTGAATATCTGGGGCAAGTGCGAGGCAGCAGCAGCCTTTCCAACGTTCTGGTATCTTCTCTGGTCTCCCTCAACACTTGATATCGAGGCAGATGAGATGTGCAGGGAACATAAGCTCAACTGGAAGCTATCACCCAGCTCTACATACACTAGAGATGAGCACATCAAGTCCCACAGATTTCAATGCACCAGACTCGGCCGACCTGAATGCAATCAATCGCTCTTGGGCCAGGCCAGCAGGGCCTGCTCTTGCCCTTACTCGAAGGCATTATCTAGTAATTCCTACCAGGTACTTAAACGTCTTACTGCCTGTGACAGGCACCGCATCTAATCTTTGCGTGAAAGAATTTTGTTGCATCGGTTACACTCGATTACGACCTTCTGGACGCCATTCACTCTAAGGTATAGACTACATGTACCCAACCATCTCTCATCCCCGACTTCCCAACTATAGCACGTCATTTCGCCTCTGTGAACACTCAATCTCGCTATGTTTATTCGTCGTCAAATTCTCACGTAGAATGTGCTGCCAAGATTGACGGACACTTATATGTCTGATGTTCCTTCTTAGATTCTTTTTCAAAAACCTTCTTTGTAGACATAGTTGACTGAACTTCCATATCCATCTAGTTTCTTTAGCTACTTTCTACTTACATGTGGCACGATCGGTCATCCTCTAGACATTCCAGTAATTCCTGTTCTCAGCAACTCTTCTTATGGGATTCCCTGAGGTAGGTAGAGTTGATCTTAGTCCATGACCGGAGTTCGACTCAAGGGCAAGCATTTACGGCTTAAAGTCATCAATCCCTTGCTTCTCATTCTCACTCATGACCTCCGCTCCAGCTTCATTTATTTGGTGCATTGTTCTCACTTAGATCATCATCTCTTTCACAGCGTCTACCGTATCTCAAGTTATTAAGTTTGTTGAGTTCTTAAGCCACACTCATTCACCAGCTACCAAGCAAATCCTAGCCCCCTAGACCAGTTCAGCTCAAAGGCAATAATCACTCGCCATCGCTGGAGCAATTGAAAACGACCTGATCTCGACCCTGGTCAATGTGTCACCATCTCCTTGACAATGTAACAAGCCGTCAGGGCCTGCTTTTCACCCTTTTGTCCTACTCGTCTCTCTCATCGTTCTCATCCTAACCGAGTACCCCAGATCCTTTTGCCTTTTTAAGGGCAATCAGGAAGGGCCTTCTGGCGGTCCTTATCGATGTGGCATCCTTTCTCTCCGTGATGATTACTGCGGAGATGCCACTGCGTCTCGCCCTTCAGCGAGAGGATCTTCAGGTGTCGAGACTCGATTGAAAAGGATAATGTCTTTGAGGAAGTAATCAAACCCCCTTTACTCCCCTTTCAGTCCGCTCGACCACGCTCTATTTATTCGTTGCCGAATCGTTATGCAGAATGTACGGACGATGTATATGAGGAATCACATTAAATTTATTAAGTTTTATTTAACACCTCCTTATTTAATTGCTAAAAAGGTTCTAGAATCATGAATCCTTCTACCATAAAGATAACTACTAGGGGTAATAAAAAAGAGCTTTCTAGTAGCCCTTCTCTATAAAGTGCCCTTTTCCTCTTAAATCGCTTCCATATTAATAGTAGAGATGCTACCTCACATTATCTAGGATAACTGCTTAAGTCGGGGTTATAAATCCCTTAGTAAATATTGCTCTTCTCTGTGATCGCTCGTTCACGCTTTGTTTATTCTCTGACGAATCGTCACGTTAAATCTACTGACGAATGTCTACGGGAAATTACATCAAGTTCATCAAGTTCTCAGTCAACACTTCTTTATTTTCAACTACCAAATCAATCCCGGAACCATCCCCAAGTCCTTCCACTCTATAGACGATTATTTAGGGCAATCGAGAAGGGCCTGCTGGCGGCCCTTCTCGATATGGAACCCCTCATCTCCGTACTCTTTGCCATAATGGTCGCGGCGGAGATGCCAGCGCATCTCATCTTTGCGCGAGAGAATCTTGTTGCACCGGTTGCACTGAATTACGACCTTCTGGGCGCCCTTCACCATTCTCGGGAGCTCCCGGCAAGGGGGTCTCGGAGAGACCTTTGCCAGGCCATAGTAGTCGGGGTTGGGGTCGGGCGTTCCGTCGTTGAATTGGGAACCTGCGATGGTTCTCGTATGCGACCGTCTTCCATGTCTGGCCTGAGGAGCCTGAACGTTGGCGGCGGGTTGAGGGTTATTGTCCTGTGCGAGCGGGTTGAGAGCGGCGGCGGCGTTCTGGGCGTCGTCTTGCTGGGGAGAGACATCCTCGTTATCGTCATGATGATTCTGTTTCTGCTGGGGCTGATCGAAGGCGTGGTCCTGGTGGGCATGGTGATCATGCTGCTGGTGCAAATCTTGGCTGTGGTGGCCCTGTTCATGGATATGATATCCATCGTGCTGCGGGTACTGCTGGTTCGGCATGTGTTGGTGTTCCTGGTCCTCGCCGTGCTCGTTCTGATGGTACTGGAGCTGCGCCTGCATGTCGACCATTTGCTGACCATACTGCTCGTGTACCTGGTTGTTGTAATGCTGCCATTGCTCGTACTCTTGAACGAACATCGCGGGATCGCCAAACTCGGCGGGGGTTGCAGCGACCGGGCCCAAGTCAAGGTACGGGAGGTTGAAGCCATCCTGGAGTAGGTTGTCGATCTGGCCGGCGTCACCTGGCTGTATGTTCATAGCACTAGCTTGAACATCGTAGATGTAATCGGGAAGAGGGTCGCCGAAGTTCGGATGCGCGGGATTGCCCCCGTGAGCAACGTGAGGATCGTTGAGAGGGTTTCCGGCCGCCTGAACTGCAATCAAGGCCTGGATCTCGAGCTCGGGGTCGATGGGAGGATAGTGCTCGGCTTGGATGGCATCATTCTGGCCCTGCTGGTTGACCGGTGCCTCGAAAGCGTGGTCGGGTCGCTGGAGAGGCATGAAGTTCTGGCCCAGGGGCTCGACATGGAACGGATTCTCGTGGGCGCCTTGAGCAGCATCGTGGTAGTTGTCGTGAAGACGGGGATCCTCGATGTCGTTGTGATCCGCCAGAGCTTCGGCTGGGTACGCTTCATCGGGCCTAAATTTCTCGCGTCAGAAGATGATGGCTTGAGCGAGTCTCCGGGTGAACTTACGGGACGTACTGGTAAGCACCAGCCATTCTGTCTCTGTCTGCCCAGTAGTACTCCAGGCGCTTGCGCTCCTCTATCATACATGGTCAGTATTATTTCTTGCGCCTCAAAATGGCGGAGGGCCTATCTCCCATGGTCCCTGAGACCGAGAGATTGGTGTTTGACAATCGAGGATCAAGCTGCGAGGAGGGCGAAGAGGGCTTATTTTATACCGCGATCGAGGACCAGGCCTCAAAGGCAGTGGATCAGGGGCCCAATGCCCTCTGTTAGAATCTCGAGGGGTCCAAAAACACTCGAGAAAAGAGAACTTTGAAAAACTTACCTTCGTCGTAGTGCTGGTCCATTTTCTTTAATGGACCTCTTGATGAGGATGTGGAGGAGAAGGTTTATTGACAAGGCTGAAAGGGAAAGAAAGCCCTTTATGACCGCTCGCCCCGCCTAGCTCTCGCCGTATTCGTCGTGGACAACGTCATGGGTTACGGGATAGGGCGAGATCTAAAGGGGCGGGAGTTAGGAAGGGAGGGAAGAGGGGTGGACGACAGAGGCAGCACGGGAGATAGAGATAGCACAAGAAAAAGAGATACCACAGGAGGGAGAGACAGCACAAAAAAGAGAGGCAGCATAAGAGATAGAGACAGCATAAGAAAAAGAGGTAACACGAGAGAGAAAGACATCACAAGAGAGAGGCAGTGTGAGAGATAGAGATAGCATAAGAAAGAGAGGCAGTATAAGAGATAGAGACAGTACAAGAGAAAGAGATGCTATAGGAGAGAGATATAGTACAAGAAAGAGAGGCAGTACGAGAGGAAGAGACACTATAGGAGAGAGAGGCAGCACAGGAGATTGTGATAGTACAAAAGAGCGAGGCAGAAAAGAGCGAGGCAACACAAGAGAGTAAATTAAAGTAAAAGAGAGAGACGATTTAAAAGAAGCAGCACGAGAAAGATAGCACGAGAGGGATTAAGACAGAGAGTATAAGGGAGACAGCGTAAGAGAGATATCATAAGAATACCATTATAAGTGAGAAACAGCACAAGAAAGAGATAGTATGAGAAGATTCCAGTACGGGAGAGGCAGTACGAGAAAAGTTGCATGAGAAAGGCAGCACGGCAAATGGGGAGAGAAAAGCAGCATGAGAGATAGAAAGAGTTTCAGGAGGGCACGGATGGCGAGAGCTTTCTAGGGCTGTGGCAAGGCATAAATAGCATCGCTAGGCATAGCATAGCCTTACAGGGCGAGAAGCAGAAGGGCCGAGTAGTCTCAAAGAGTGGGAGCTAGGCAGGACTGTTGCCAGGCCCTGAGAAGTCACATTAGGTATGCAATGGGGTGAGAGCAAATGACCGATCTCTCATGCCTTATCCTGAAGCCGATTTGGAGGACTCAGTCGGTGCGGGAAGACCTGTTCCCATGACAGCCAGAGATCATTTCATAGGTGGCTGCCAGGCTGTGAAAAAATCATGGGTAAGGGCGATGGTTAGACGGCTATGGCGGACAACTATTGGTGAGGAAGTGAGTTTTCTTATGATATGGTGAGGCAGTCATGGTTGGAGAAAAGAGAATTCGATCTCTATCAAGTACATACAGGTCATCATACGACCTAGTATAAGCAGAGCGGTCTTGATGAGGGTCTGCAGGCAGTGAACAACATCACATGGGGGCAAGGCACAGCCAAGAAGTAACTCAGTATAGTCAAATCAAGTGGCGGGAGCTTTCAAGGGCGGTTTCTAGGCACCAAAAGGTAGTGACAATTATCATGGGCATGGTCTAAGGTGAGGGCTAGGAGGGTAGAAGGGCCTCGATGAGGGAGTGAGCTCTCGAAAGCTTTGACTAGGCAGTGGATATAAGATTGAGACATGATTTTGAGATGTGATAAGGTGTAAGTGAGAAGAGTGGTCTCAAAGAGTAGTAGCTTCCAGAGATGGTTGCTAGGCAGCGATAGATGGATGGGACGGGTTCCGGGAGAAGGATGGAAATTTTCATCTCCTGGAAGTTCATAAATAACGTCATGGGGCCCGTACTCGGAAAAGGGCTAGACTGTAGACTGAGAGTGATCTGGGTAAAGGCTTCAAAGATAGTCGTGAAGCCCGTTCTCATTGGCGAGAACTATCATCATCACTCCCTTCTAAGTGAGTTGTTCACCTAGTAGGGTGAAGGCAGGGCTAGGATAGTAGACGCAAGATCTTGCAAAGAAGATTGTTCGAGAGCGATGGTTGAATGGGGGAAAATTTAGATTCTCTTCGCCTTAGAGAGAATTGAATGGTCAAGTCCTTTCTAGGTACGAAGGTGAGTTGAAAGAGATCAGGGCACATCATGTTTGGAACAAGCATGTGGATATGACCTCGAAAGTTCGAGTTTGAGCTAGAAAGGAGTGGTGTCTTGGAGTGACTCGAAGATGTTCATCAAATCTCTTTTATTGATCTGATGACATGGGGCTTATCGGAGTGCATCTGAGATGCTTTTGTGATCCTTATGTTGCGACATTCTATTGAGGCGAAAAAGTGCAAATACTACAGTAAGGTACATGTGCGCCATCCAACTTGCAATTGTCCAATTTGACTTGAGATGGATGTGTAGGAGCATCTAACCATGTGGTCTCGAGGATTGACAATATAAAATTGAACATGGAAGGATCAATAATGGAAATTTACCTGCTTTCCAAGTCTGGCACACGTCTCGAACAGGATACTGTGGGAGTCGCCGTCAACGAGAAGCCGGAGCGGAGCGGGGTGGCCTGGCCGGTTTTCAGTGGAGCAACGCCGAGACAATCGGAACGGAGTGTGCCGGAGACGGGAATGCAGCGCAGGGCCCCATGCGGCAGATCAGCTAATCTACCTTGAATCTTGGCAAGGCTCAGAAGAAAAAGAGAGAGAAAAAAAAAAGACGGGAAGCCGGGTGGTCGGCAAGCTGGTGAGACCTTGTGTCACGCTTGTTCACCTTATCTTGGTTGTTGCCATCATCTCTCCACATAAGATTTGCGCAGATGCTTGTATTCTTACGTACTGGTGGTCCCGGTGGGCGCCCACAGCAAGCTGCAGCAGCAGTCTGCAAGGGGAGCGGCACAATGTTTACCAAGTCTTTGCAGGTTTACTGTAGGGTAATAAGAAAAGGCAAAGTTGGAAAAGGCTCGTGATGGTGAAACGCTGCGAGTGCTGGCGGCAGCATCCCGGCCATGGCCGGCTATGGCGCATGGGAGCTTACTGTACTTTACCTCAGGGCTCATGGCTCAAGGAACTTATGCTTGCTGATGGCCGGAATGGGGGCTCGACATTAGGATGGCAATTGGCTCAGCTGGGCAGCATGACCCCGGCTCCGGCATCTTCTAGCCGCACCCTCGACGCCAACTCTTGGAGGGGGGCATGACGTCAGGCGCAGGCGCCAGTTGCATGTTGCTTGCGACGCTTTGTTGATCTCGTTGCGTTCTTTGGTTCCGTATCTTATTCTTCAGTATTGTGTGATGCTGAGTGGGTGTGTAGGTGTGTACTATGCTGAGATGTTGGCTCGGTTTCTCTCTCTCTTTTCCTCTAATGATGATCTATCCCTACGAGGATAGAGGCTGAGGATATGAACAGGGGGCAGGGTCCCTTGTTTTTTCGCAAAGAGTCCTAGTCTCTATTCGTACTATGCCTCCTGCCTACAAGTACACAGTAGCTCAAGAGTCAAGGATCACGTCTAACCCAAAAGAGAGCAATTTGATGGTTTGAACTGCGGCCTGTGATTTCCCTCGGACCCCGTATCTGTTACCCCCCCAGCCCCTCGCATCGTCCTGTCTGTCTGGTCTGGTCTGAGTCGAGTCTTTCTCTTCCTTCTCGCTCCATCCGGTTACCTCCCATTTCAAAGCTTCTTTTCTCTTTTTCCTTCCTCCAAACAACTTTCTCTCCTGTCATCGTCATATCTTGTTCTTGATTGCTCGCCTTCTGGATACCCCTTGGCCTCAGACACAACATACGAATAAGCGCCATCTACCTAGCGAGTCCCGAGTCTCGTTCGCCAGCGCATCTTCTTCAATAAACCAACGTTCCTCCCGCCCGCCGCCAACGCTTCGTTTCGTTTGCAAGCGGACACCACGGACCCCATGCCAAGCTTTTGGTGATCCCCCCAGAGACATCATTGGACACAGCTCTCCAAACCCAAACTCAGTTCCCGGTTCAAGCTCAAGCTCATCTCGGTGGAACTGAAGCTCAGCCCAGCTTTGAGTGAGTGAGAGAGAGTGTGACGGAGAGCTCGCACTCGCACTGAGAGAGAGAGAGAGAGAGGCAGCAGCGCGCTGCCCCTCCACGATTTGGAGGGATCGACACTCTCAAGTCTTGGCAACGGCCACCACGGCGCTGCAGGGTTTTTTCTGACAGGATCTCCCGCTATTCTGTTCGCTCCATCTGCGCCCTACAGATCCTAAGAAAGTAAGATACACGAGAGAAACACAGGGACTTGTTTCTTCCGCAAGCCAACACTTGCCGGGGATCCCAACGCCTCCTCCGGCTCCCCCGACGGGCGCATTTCAAGCCACCATCGCCGTCGCTGTCGCTATTTGTGTCTCGATCACGGACATTCCTCCGTAATTCCAATCAAAGTATTTCTTATTTCAATCGCGCATTACAACCACGATCCTCACCATGTCGGCCGCCGACGAACAAAGGCCCAACGGCCACCCACATTCCGCCGACCCGTCCACCTCTGCTGCCGCCGCCGAAACTTCCACCACCACGGCCGCAACCACGGCGCCACCAACAGATCTCGGCGCCGCTCAGCCTGCGACAACAACAGCAACCTCTGAGCCGATTGAGAATCTCAACGGTCACACGGTAAATGGCACCGCAGCCGACGGCCCCTCGACAAACGGCCACGCACCCAATGGCACAACTCACGCCCCGGCGGCCCTCAACGGCAATGCTACCGCCCACGATGCGCCGGACCTGAACGGGCACTCGTCACCTTCGTCCAACGGCGCGCCCCCTGCCGCCGGCAACGAGCAAATCAATGATGGCACAGTCCCATCAACAATATCAACAAATGGTGGGCCGCCAACCAACGAGCATGAGCCCAAGCACGGAGAGGGAGCAGCCCTCGAGAACAAGATCGAGGGCGTACAGAACCCGGAAGCTAACGGTCACAAGCCGCCCCACGAGAAGCCCCATCACCACTCTAGCGATCTCAAGGGCCTTTACTCCGAGGGCAAGGAAAAGGTCAAGGACAAGACCAAGCCCTCTGGCGGCTTCGACCCGACACCCTTACCCGACGCACCTCCCGGCTACACGGTGCGATTCATCTTCCACAAGGCGAGCAACCTTCCCGCCGCCGACATTGGCACCCAGTCCTCCGACCCTTTCATCCACGTCACCCTCCGCGCCGCCGTCCCGAAGCGCCACAAGGAGGACCCGGACCTCACCCTTCGCACCCAGACCATCCGCAAGACGACGGAGCCCGTCTGGGATGCCGAGTGGGTGGTCGCCAACGTCCCCGCCGACGGCTTCATCCTCAAATGCCGCCTCTACGACGAGGACTGGCCCGACCACGACGACCGCCTCGGCAACGTCACCGTCCGGGTGCCCCACGTCGGTCCGGACTGGAAGGGATATCCGCGCCCCGGCCAGGAGTTCACGGCTAAGAAGCGTATGGGCAGCAAGCGGGCCTACTTTGTCAAGGCCATCACCAGCCACTTTGATCCCCGCGTCGATATGTCTCCCAGGCTGTGGATTAGTATGGAGCTCCTGGGACAGTCTGATCCGCCGCATGCGCAGATGTGCACTCTCGGGCCGACGACCTACTTTAAGCACTTTAGTCCAATGATTGGGCGTCTTACTGGTATCAAAGTCAACCGGGACGAGGAGAACGATGCTCGGTCCGACCTGTTTGACGAAGCAGAAAACAAGGAGAAAGACAACAAGACCCAGAAATACGAGTAAGTCTTTTGAGAGTATCTCACAGTGAATCAACTGTTAATGATTGTATTAGCTTCCAATCAAACGAGATGCAGCTCTCAGGGCCCGTCCCTCCCGAGCTCTACCACCGCTACGTCGAGTTCCGCCCCATGATCGGCCTCATGTTCGCAAAGAGCGGCCTGCGCGGCCGCATCCTCAACAAGGCCCTGCACAAGCAGCACAGCCGCGTCTACAACTTTGACAGCTCGACAGAGTACGGCGTCTTCAAGGCCCGCTCCGAGGAGGCCGCGCTGCAGTTCCTCAAGCTCGTCCACTTTGACCAGGGCGGGCGCATCTTCACCTACGTGCTGACGCTCGACGGCATGTTCCGGTTTACGGAGACGGGTAAGGAGTTTAGCATCGATATGCTTAGCAAGCATACCATGCACAGCGACGTTGAGACCTACATCGCCTGCTCAGGCGAGTTCTTCATCCGGCGGTTGGAGAAGCCTGATGCGTCGGAGGAGGCGGACCCGCCTGAGCGGACGCACCCCTCGGACGAGCTGCCCAACGGCCCGCCGAACGAGCACCCGCCGCATAACCCGTCGTATTACCAGCTCTACATCGACAACGACTCGGGCACCTACCGACCAGACAAGTCGATCCTCCCCAAACTCAAAGAATTCCTCGAGGCAAACTTCCCCGGGTTGGGCATTGTGGTGATGCACTGCGAGGACGAGAAGCTGCAGAAGCTCAAGAAGGAGCAGGTCGAGGCCAAGAAGAAGGAGGGCAAGATGATCAACATGGTGGCGCGGAGTCCCAGCTCAAGCTCGCTCAGCTCCAACGAGAGCGCGCTGGAGCACATGGACGAGGCGGGGTATGATGGGGAGCCGGTCAAGAGTACGACGCAGAAAGCGCTGGATGCGTTGGAGGACCCGAGTAGTCTGAAGAGGATGCTGAAGCCGGGGCACCACGGTGGAGGTGAGAGTTCGACGGCCCATTAGTGGTGGGAGTTGTGGTGGTGGGTTGGATTATTTGATGTCATGTCTTTGATACCTTTTGTGTTTGGATTTACCGCAACGGGACGGCGTTGACTATTTTTTACTTGGATATTCCCCGTCTTTGGACATTACTTTACTTGGATCAGAGGCTGGATAGTCTGCAAGATCGACTATAATTGAATTTCACAACATCGCTGCTATGTTAAGAAGAAGAAAGTATCAATCTCGTTGCAATTTCATTTCGTGACCTCGCATCTCGCAACATCGAACTCGAAGTTGTCCGCCTCATTACTGGAGGGGGTCGAAGTCTAGACTCTGCGCCCTCTGCGAACCCAAGGCCATCCCGGGCTCGGATTAGGACGCGGGAAATTAGACGCCATGTTGGTCTCCTTCTGACGGTCGCCAAAGTAGGTGTTGGCCGGAAACTTGTTCTGGCTCACGCAGTTGGGGTTACACTTGTCGAGGGGTCCGGACTTGCCGCGGGTGAGGTCGAGGACGTAGGTATCGTCCTTGCAGTCGGGGAGGACTATGTGATCGGGGAACGTATTGTTAGCAAGTGATTTCCGTGCCCAGGCATATGATGGTGCCGACGTTGGGTTTGTGAGAGTTTGATTGGGCTTACCCTTGAGGTCGTTGAAGGGGATGGTGTTGAGGTAGCAGTCTTTGAACTGGGTCGAGTAAGCCGTGTAGAGGCCGTTGTAGTTCCAGTACCAGTTCCTTGTTCCCTCATCAGTACTCTCAGAGATATCAAGTCAAGATAGAGCAAATTGTCAAATACTTATTGGTGTTGTCGGCAGCGCAGCCCATCATGATGAGGGCACCAGCGGGCCCAGTCTTGACCAGCTCAGACTTGATATCCGGGCAGCAGTAGGTCTTTACGTCGGCTGTTGCCGTACAGTTGAGGGAGGCTAGGGCGCCTGAAATGGCGGCTGCGACGATGATGGACTTCATGGCGTGTGGTCTTAACTGTTGGTTCTGGATTCTGGGTTATGTAGTGAATGGTTTCCTGATGGCTCGAGGTGAAGGGCCTTTATCATTTCGCTTTGAAGACGCTTGAACGCTCTATTTGTATCCAATAGCACAGAGTAATAAGGTATAGCTGTCAGATCTTTAAACAGAGTTACGATTACGGCTCACACCGGTTAAGCGAGCAAGCGGCATCTGGCTGGTCGTATTGTTCAACTACCGAGTTTGCGGGGATTTAGCCTATTGCCTCTTTCATCTTCAAAGAGAGGGTTTTCTGTTATGGCTCATTAGGAAGTTACCACAAACGGAAGCTTGCCAAAACATCTGATACGAGTTGGAGGCGCTCAGATTGAAATGGGGAGGTGCCAAGACGAGGCTATCTAGGGAGCCAACCGGATGTTCACCTGCAGACATTTGCCAGGTCTTCATTTATCGAAAGCTCCGATGCTACATTGAAGTATATCCATCCCACATTTAAGCTAGAGGCAAATTATTTTAGTAACCATGGGCATTAAAGACCACAATAGTTGGATTATAATAGTTTTGCGCGGCATAGTTGACATGTGTGACGGATGAACTTGATCCTTGAAGCGGCAAATTAGTAGACTGAGTCCAAATAATGCTTCATTCTTCTCATGGCTGCCAACAGGGTTAATGTCATTGCGGTGTTGAAATCAATGAAACAAATACCGGTGCTAGGCCAAAGAGGAAATGATCCCTCGGAGGGGAAGCAGCTCCTTTGGCAAGTGACGATGATTACGCCAAGACAAGTTTTGCCTGAAGTAGGTGTCCTATGAGCACCACCTTCAAGCTGAAAACTGACCGGCCAAATGGGTTGTCACCTTGGGTACCCAGATGGTGAAGCAACTCGTTGCTAGTATTGAGTTATAGCTGGTTCAGAGAGAGGTGATTCTATCTCCGCTGTTCTATGAATGAAGACACAGCTTGGGTGAAATGGTTGATACAGTTGTCTCTGAAAGATGACTTCCGAAGAACCCTCCTGAGATTTCGCCGTGATTCAGACAAAAAAAAGAGAATACAATCATCCCACAGTACCATCACGAGACAACTCTACATACAGACGACTCTACACATGATTATCTTATGAGTTCACCGATTTACGCAACACAGTGAGCTCCACAACGATAAACCCAACATATCCAATCAGCATAATACCACCCAACACCCGCTGAACACTCCCACTCACCCACATCGACCCCGTAAACAAAGCAGTACTACCCCAAAGCACAGCCAACTCAGCAACCGAGACACTCCCCGCGCTCCCCAGCGCCCCCTCCGTACCCAGCATGACGATACCCAGGCACAGCGTCAGCAAGAAGATGTTGCTGCCCACCGTGTTAGCAACCAAGATGCCGCCGTGCCCGCGCCGGCCACTGAGCACGGCGATGAACTTCTCCGGCAGGGTTGTGCCGATGGCGAGTACGACGATGCCGAAGAGGACCTCTGAAGCGCCGAGGGCGTCGGCAATGTTGGTCGCTGCGTGGGAGAGGATGTAGCCTGATAGGCAGATGGCGAGGAAGCCGGCGAAGAGGTAGGCGATGTGGTAGTTTAACCCGCGGCGGTGGCGCAGAAACCGTTCCGAGGAACGGAGGAGGGGCTGTTGCTCGCCGTCGGTGCCGTTCATTTGTGGTTCAGGTTGCGATGCTGCAGCGCGGCTGTTTCCTCGAGAAGAGATGGAGGAGTCCGAAGATATGGACGACGTGTCATCTTCATCGCTGGAGCTATCGCTGTCTGAACCTTCCGGTGCAACAAGCGTTCCTCGGCTGATTGCCCATCCTATAGAGAGGAGATAGATGACAAATGCCACAATCAATACGATACCAGTGACTCGCCAAAGGAGCTCACGCGGCAAGTACGTGACGGGGATGATGGCAGTCGTCACGCCGAGCAACAGCAGCGAGTAGATGCGAGCGCTGCGATCAAAATCCACCGCGTCTCCTTGCTTGCGGAAAAGGAGACCCAGCGAAAAGGCGCCGAGGATGTTGGAGATGGCTGAGCCGACAATGTTGCCGAGGGCGAGCGAGGCGCGGCCTTGCGCCAGGGCGCTGACGACCACAGCGAGCTGGAGATAGCTGGTCAGTGTACACTGTTCTCCATGGAGATGACGTTGTGGCGGGATATCATGGCATTAGGACGAGACGGGGCTTACTTCTTCCCACTCGGCGCCGGCGGTGATTAGCGCGATAAGAGTGTCCGGGATGCCGGTGCGCCGAGCAACGATGGCCGTGTGGTCGACGAACTTGTCGGCGCCGGCCTCGAGGAGGAAGAGGGTGCTGACGAAGACGGCCGTATTGTAGGCCACTACGTCACTAATGATCATCTTGACAAGGTCGTGGGGTTATGGAAACAAATGTGGAATTTCAACCAAGCCGTACTTCAATACGGGTGGTGAAGTTGTGAAATAAGAGGAATTAAACGTCCCCGCCGAAGATGGGATGACGGGTGGGACTGACTCGCTGGAAAACGCAGGTCCACCCGCAATGGTAAATCGGCTTTCTCGGCGTAAATGAAGACCGAGCCGACAGCATTTCATAATTCAGTTGTGGTGTCCCAATGAGTGTAATTTGTTTCTCGTCAAGGCCGATTGGCGGTATTGTCAAAAATCGCCCGTGTGAGGTTATTGTCAATGTTTGATGAGCCAAGCGTCCAGTCCACTGGTTATTCGGATGTATCAACTGGACCTCGTAAGTCAAAGGAATTATCTGGTAATAAATGAGCAGTAAAGCTTAACGATGCTACAAATAGACGACATATTAGACCACCTAGGTACCTATTTTATTATTCCTAGCCATGGTGATCTCATGTTACGACTACCTACTAGTCAGGAGTAAAGGCCAGGTCAATGTATCCAGACCGAGAAAGAGATACAGATGAGTTTCTTGGCACTGCAGGCCCCCCCCCCCCCAATTCAAGAGTGATGACAATGAAATACTAAGGCCTGGTCGTTGTCAAGTCCATTTTCCATTGAGCATCATGTGAAGAAACACATTGCGAATTTACGATATCGGACACTCGAAAGCTATGTTTCAACTGTGGGCATCGGATCTACAGAGACAGTGAGCAGAAAATAAATCAACTAAACAAAATGCCGGAAAGTTAATCGACTCCCGTCTGAGATCGGCAAGATAACGGATCTACGCGTTCGACATTCCATATGTTAGGTGGATACAGCCTGAGAGGTCGGGCCATCTCGCGTCTCATGCACAGCACAGAAACTCAGTGGAGGGCAGAAAAAGCTGTTTGCGATTCATGAGCCTTCGATAATCAACACCGGCATTTGAGGATCTCGGAATGGCATATCCAGCATTAAGATAATTGAGCCGAAGGCACTTGGTTGAAAATTTGGAACATCATGGGAAATTCGACTTTAAGAACTCAACGAAACCCATACTGCGCATGCATTACACTCACGATGCAGCAATGAGTGTTCAGGATGTCACAACAATCCATTGGAAACTGAAGGGAGATTTCAAAATTGCGAAAGAACAACTCAGACTCATAGTATTGGAAAGATAAATCAGGAATAGCTAGCTAAAAACAGAATGATCCCAAATTCGCAGCAATGGTCGACCAAAGAACACACTCATAAAAGTCGTAAAGAAGCACCCATGAAGCTGTTGTGCCATGTGTGTAGTGCCCATTTATTTGAGAGCCTCGCGGACCTTGCTCTCAAAGCTGCCATCCTTGAAGGGAACGTTGGCCTTTCCGAAGTTGGTGTCCTGAAGAGCGGTCTTGGCGGCGGCGGGGAGAGCATCCCAGTCGGAGATGGGATAGGTCTTGCCCTTGGTCTGGGTGAACTGGAGCTCGTGGTTTGTCGGGAAGGTAGTGAAGTATTCAACCTTGGGGCTGTTGCCGTCCATGGGAGGAGCGCCGTTGGCCTTGCTGTAGCCGCTGTGGCTGGAGGCAGCTCCGCCGATAATCTTGGGGGTAGCCGCGGCCGGGTCGTCGATCTGAATGACAATGTTCTCCCAGTCGTGGCGGTGGCCTCCGGCGACGTCACCGCCGGTGGGGTGGTCCTTGGGGAAGTACCAAGAGTACATAATGACCGTCTTGCCGTCGACTGTGCCAGCGCGGGCATATGTCTGACCCTTGGACTGATCGCGGCAGCCACCGGTGGAGCTGCCGGTGTCCTGAAGACCACCGCTGGTGTCACCGTTGTCGGCAACGGCGGGGTACGGCTGGCAACCGTGGGCGATATGGAGAAGGGGGTTGAAGGTCTCGATGACCTTGCCGAGGCCGCCAGTCTGAATTCTCTGAGCGACGGGGCTGATGGAGTCGTGAGCCACAACGGCGCGGGACTGAAGGAGCTCAGTCGGCGCGGCGGCAACGGCGGCGGCGAGGGCCAGGATGTTGGAGACCTTGAAAGAAACCATTGTGAAAGTTGGAAATCAAATGAATGATAAGTGAATGTGGGTGTGCTGTAAAGCGAATGGAAGCTGAGTCTGAGTGAATGGAAGGAAAGTGATGCGATGGGTGAAGAAGAAAGGATAGCTTTGGAAAGGGACGAAGGCTTGCTCTTTATACTTGGATATCTGATGATGACGATGCTCTGCTTGTATGATGTCTTGATTCCTGTCTCGAAGATCACCAAAACATCTGCCAAGCACCTGAACATTTATAATCCTCGTCTCACGTTGAGAATAGCAATTAAACAAACTTCTAGACGTCTTTAGTCGGCCTGGCCAAGTTGAGGGCCGTGAGTGGCAACAAGGCCAACCAGTCGCCAGGCGACGATGTTTAACCAAGCCTCCCGAGATTGAGGCCTGTCTGATCTTGACATCAAGGCTCCGTATTGGGGGCAGTGAATATTCAGGGGAAAAGTATGAAGGTCTTATTGAACGCCCTATAAGGAAATGAAGACAAGGTCGTTAGTCTTACCGGACTCTCGGCGCGGGTTTCGATTGCTCGTGACGTCCGAACACCCTTCGGTTAGGTGGCTCTGTGAACCTCATATTGATTGACCCAAGACTATCTCCAGGCCGTTTTGGGGTGGTGCGGCTCGGCGATGGTCATTTTGACCAAGGCCGACAATACTACCTGTTTCTGCCGTGTAAAGCTGAACGATACTACCTGGCCCTGCAGCAAAGAGCTGAACATGTCAAGGGCAGTCACTCAATGCATTGTTTCTTGGCACTTTGCCCCTCTGTGTATGTGACGTCCCCCACACGCACCCAGCCTTACTGAATACCTTAAATGGCTCGAGAGCCCCATGTTTAGACCATGTACCCATGTGAGACCAGGTGACCTTAACGGATGACATATATGAGAGATGGTGTGCTATTCTGTATGTAAAGTGGTTTTACAACATGCTATTTTGGGTCACGAGCCATGTGGGACTATGAGAAGAAAAGGTCGCCGGCAAGTCTTCTTCAACAAATCGACATGTCCTGCAGAAAGAATATGTGAATGATCGTGTTGCTCCGAGAATGATTGCCTGGAGACCTTTTTGTCATACTGACAAGCTTTTGCTACTTACAATCAAATCATAGCCGCTAGAGAAAGTCTGTCCATCTTCTGAGGTTTCCCATCAAAGGCCACCCGAAACAAATTATTGGGTGTTTCCGTCGGAGTTTGTGGGCTTGGACTGAAACGGCGTGCTTCCTCGCTTACACCAAAAAGTGCTGACAAGCTGCTAAAGAAAGTATGCTCACTGACTCGAACAGCCATTCTAGACCGCTGCCCACCTCCAAAATAGGCTCATTCGGGGAATAGGCCGCCGGCGGATCACGGAATTTTTAGTGACCAAGCTTAACCCAGCCCCCAAACTTCTGACAGGGGGCCTTGGCAGCATGTGTATTCGCGACTTGATACTTCATGGATAGGCGCGGCCTTTCATGCGTTGATGGAAGAAGCCAATGAAACCTCTCCAATGGCCGACCTGAAGCGGCATCGGTATTTCTATTGGATGTTGCTTTTGAGGCTACCCACAACACCATGTCGGCCGATTCACGGAGTCCGGGGAACGGGACTGTCCGCAGCGCCGCCGACTAATCGTGAAATCAGAGGCCGACCTCTCGGAGAAAGGCCGGCTGCCAAGATCACCTCAGCCTTAAAGTTTTTCCTCAATGCAGGAACAGGCTTAGTGGAGTGCCATCATGCGACTCGGCGTCTCCCGTGGCCTCTTGGGCTGGATACCTAAATTTTTGGAACGAGAATGACGCTTTTTCAACGCCGAGTGCTCTATTCTGCAATGGAGTCAATCCATAGCTTCGAGCCCTGAGTTCTCCGTCCCGCCATTCGAGTCTATTAAGTCGGGGTTGGTGTTAAATCAACGATTCTAGAAGGGCGTGGTAGGCTTTACTTAAGGGATGGCATTGTGATCACTGCAAACATTGATATGGTACTCCAAAATACGAGAAGGGCCTCGACCGCCCCACAAACGTCTCAGAGGTGGGAGGAGAGAAGCTTGGCGCCTACACTTGGCCTTAAGGCCTCTTCCTCGAACGAGTGGCGACAATGACTTGAACAGGACCCTTCCATGCTCGACGATGTCCCGACGATGTCGCCTCCCCGTAATTGATTCGTCCGCGTCTACGACAATGGACATACCTCAGGGAAGGTGGACAAATCATAATCTGACGAAGACAACAATAAGTAACAAGAGCTGAAATCGAAATTGAGAATGCTACCCTCAGGCCAATCTACCTCAAAAACGACTGAGGCACGTTTAACATAAAAGTTCTGATACTAACATGTGAATGGATTAGTGAGCCAACCTCCGCTAATTGTGAAGACTCGCCGGGGCCAAAAAAGGCGAGAATGCGACAAGCCCATGTCGAGAATGAGAGAAGATGCCACGTGCACATCAAGGCACATACACATATGAGCCGGCTACTTGACTCGAAGGTTTCTGACGAGTCGTTCAGCCAGATGCCTGATGTTCATCTGCTGGGGATGGTACCAAAGCTCATATAATTAGTGCTATTGTCTTCCGGTAACCGTAATTGGCAACATGAACCTTGAAGCATAAAAATGAGGGCATCCATCCTCACGGGTTATTCTACATCTAACCTTCAGTCAGTCCTCGTAATACCAATACGAACCCGAGGGTCACGATATCGATATTCGCATTTGATAAGACCTGGCCTTGAGTTCTTGAATACTAGTAGCGTATCGAATCAGCCCCATCGAGCATTCGCGTCAAACTTGAGAGCCAATCGAAGAAGCAAGACGAAGAATACTATTTAGAATCTTTGACGGGAACAGTTTAGACCTTCAACTATTCTCAAAGCTGGCTTAGCAGGAATCTGTTCGTATCTCTTATATGCGTCAAATGGCATTCTGCATGGGTGTTGAGCTGATTACTCAATTCGAAAATCGTTACTATAAACACGGCCAGGTGGCAGCGTCTAGTCACATGCACGTATTGGCACTTATCCACGCTTATAATGCCGCATTGCGATAGAGGTAGTCCCGA